TACTGACCTAGAAGGCACTCATTCACAACTACTCTACAACGTGCAGTCTCTTGAGGAGTTGCCACATGAGCAGAACAAGAGACCCAGCACAACATGACATGTTCTTCAGATTTGGGTGAGGTATTTTGAATACCATTTGACAACCAACTGCTAGCACTTGTCTTCTGAATATTCTTGGCCATTGCCAGTGAGTGTAGGACTCATGCAAAAATGAGAAATCTCTTATTTTAGTGAGGTAGAACTACTTTTATGAAACAGTTGAAGAAGTTGCTAGATGCCCATTTTTAGTCTGGAGTGTGAATCAGGCCAGGACAACTTTTCTACCGTTAAGTGATGATTCTGAACAGATGTTGAGCACAGCATGTTTTGCTAGTGCAGACCTTAACTCCAGATTGCTGCCGGACTGAGGTGATCACCTGGGATTTTTCTTTGAAAGTAAAAATGTACAAACTTATCTGTACATGTGACTGCCTATATGGGGAAAAGGCTATAGCTAATGAGATTAATCTGAGTTATTAGTTGGGTACATCTATCCCTGGTTCTAAGTCTAAATAAATTCCTACATGTAGATTCAGTTGTCCTGGGGAGTGAATCAGTATAGCAATTTTTCCATCTTTTTTAAGTCAAGTTATCATTCTGAAAATGTACACAAATTATCAATGAATATCATTGCATAGATTGCTTATTGTGCCCCACATCAAGGTAGTCGATAGTAAACATCCAGTTGTTCTTGCTTCCTGGAATGCTCTGAACCCTAATCCTCCATTCACTACCTGAAGGAAAATCTTATCCTCCTTAAAGACTCATTCCCAATGATTCTTTCCCAGTGAAGATTTCCCTAGCATTCCTCATCTCCTCCCTGCCTACAGCCCCAATCATAAATATCTAAATCCTCTCCAGCAAATTTAATTACTCCTGCTCTACTCCTACTTTACTGATAGTTTTATCACAATACTTATTACAGTAATTTGTATTTGGTTGTTTATATGTCCTTTCTCAGACTGTAATGCAAGTTCTTCCAGAGCAGTTAATAAATGGATTTTGGTTCATCTTTGTATTCCTAGTCACTAGAACAGAACTGGGCTTAGAGTTCGACTCGATAAAAGTCTGGTTTGGGGCAAAAGAATGAGAGAATAAGCGAAAATAAGCAAACATGAAAATCAAATTCTAAATAAAATGTTATAAGGACACATAGGACAGAGTAATTAATCCCAGTAAGGTGACGTCACAGGCAAGGTGGCATTTGAGATGATCCTTGAAAAGTGAGTAGGACTTGACAGGTGGAGATGAGTGTTGGGGAGTGTGTGTGTGGGGGGGGCAGTTAAAGATGAGAAGGGCACTTAAGGCAGAACTCCTTAAGGATTTAACAACCAAATTCATTATGAGAAAATAATGCTGTTAATTACACATGTTCCTTACCTATTCATGTAACTCTAGCAGGAACACTGCTTGCTAACATTTTAGCAGGCAGTTTGAATTAACACATATTTTGAAAATAGTAACACTGCTTTCTGTTTAAAAAAAAAACTGATAATTTTTTCAAGTACCACTTTTTAAAAATTTTATTAAAATAACATTGGTTTATAACATATAGGTTTCAGCATCGTACATCAACATCTGTGTATGCTCCATTAAGATCACAACCAAAAGTCTGGTTTCCATCCACCATCATACATTTTACCGCCCCCTGCCCTTTGCCCATTTTAGCCACTCTTTTAACCCTCTCATTTTACCCACTCCCCTCTGGTAAACACCATTCTGTTCTCAGAAACTAAGAGTTTGTTTTTGTTTTGTTTGTTCATTTTTTTTGAAAAATAGATAGTTTAGATCTTTTTCTCCTTTTCGCAAATTAGCCCACAGCTTGATTGGGTGAATTACATTGTAAATTCCCATTCTTTAATCTCAAAATTCTTTATTGAGAATAATTCTTGATTCTCTTATATTCCCCATGGTTGCAGAACCAATAAGTCATCAGAATGTTGCAAGAAATTGCATCGGGGCCCAATCCTTCTAAACCTAGCTACTTGCTCTGAGAGTCAGTATGAACACAGTAACCTCAAAAGTCCCTTCCAGCTATAACATTCCCTAAAAGCCCATCTCCCCTGGCTGGAAATTGAGAATGATCTAGATGACCCTAATACTGACTACATAAACTCTTGACCCAAAGGGTATTTAATGCCCACGTTTGTTTTCTAGATAATATTTACAAGAAGACTATTTCTAGCCTTCTCATATACCTTCATGAGAGAACACTAAAAACTGGGGGTGAGGATTTGAGTTCCTACAGATTTAGAAATCATCAGTTCTGAAAGGTGACTTCTGACTGCAGTAACGAATTCTTAGGGCCAGCAATAGGCAGCATAGGAGAAGAAACACTAATATTTTAGAAATAGTATTTTTGGCCACTTGCATTTGTTGTTCTGACCAATTAGTGGCCAAAATAGCACTTGTATAAATAACCCGGCCAAGGATCAATTCTGATGTTGCCAAGTTGGAAGGATGTGATAGACGTTAGCAAGCTACTATTAGAACAGTGTTGCCTTCCGGGGTTTAATTGGTAGGAGTGTACACTGGGAGGTAGGAGAAAAGCCATAGAAAGCTTTTCCTATGGATATCTGCAGTGAAAGGGTAAGTTCCAAAATAAAAGTCTCTTTTTTTCCCTTTTTTTTTTTTTTTGCTCACCTGACTTATGATTGTATCTCTCTCAACTGTATAGTATATATACATCACTTGCAGATATAAACCACTTCAATGTCTTTCCTTATATAATCACAGTTTCTGGAATGTCTTCCTTCCCTCATAATTTTCCTATCTAATAACTACCCTGCACCCGAGACCTGTTCTATAGAAATCTGGTCCATTCTCTCAAATTTCATCTTCTCCATGAAGTCCCTTCCACCTACTGATGCCTTAGTCCTCTTCATTCCTTAAACTTCAGTAATGTTTCTGGTCTGTACCATTTGAGTCATTGTTTCCTAATTGTTTTATTGGAGGTAGTAAAGCATAGTGGCTAAAAGCACATATCCTGTGACTTAATTGTGAAATGCAAAACTATTAAACTTTTAAAAGATCACAGGAGAAAACCCAGATGACCTTGGATATGGTGATAACTTATTAAATACAGTATCCAATGTGTGGCCCATGAAAGAAATTATTGATAAACTGTAATTCATTAAAATTCTCAGTACAAAAGTCTGCTCTGCACAATACAATGTCAATAGAATGAGAAGACAAGCCACAGACTGGAAGAAAATATTTGCAAAATACACATCTGTTAAAGGACTTATCTAAAATATACAAAGAACTCTTAAAACCAACAATAAGAAAACAAGCAACCAGATTAAAAAGTGGGCCACACCTTTAATAGACATCTCACCAGATATGACATACAGATGGCATATAAGCATATGAAGTGATACTACACATTATATGTCATCGGAGGCATCGCATGCATCAGGAAAATATAAATTACAACAACAGTGAAATGCCACTACACACCTATTAGAATGGCCAGAATCCAGAACACTGACAGCACCGAATACTTACAAGGATATGGAGCAACAGGAAATCTCATTCATTGCTGGTCGAATGCAAAATGGTTCATCCACTTTGGGAGACAAGTTGACAGTTTCTTACAAAACTAAATACGCTCTTGTTATATGATCCTGTGATGGCACTTCTTGATATTTACTCAAAGGGGTTGAAAACTTATGTCTACATAAAAACATGCTATAAACATGGATGTTTATTCATAACTGCCAAAACTTGGAAACAACCAAAATATCCTTCAGTAGGTAAATGGAGAAATAAACTGGTATATCCAGACAATGAAATATTGTTCAGCAATAAAAATAAAAATAAAAATAAAAATAAAATACTATCAAGCCATGAGACATGGAGAAAGACGTGGAGAAAGCTTGAGTACGTGTGTCATCATACATTTGTTCAAACCCATAGAATGTATAGCACCAAGAGTCAGCCCTGGGCCTCCCCGGTGGCGCAGTGGTTGAGCGCTGGGTTGCGAGGCTGCCCGCAGCCTCTGCAGCGCCGGTTCAATCCCTGGCTGCTCCCCAGCCGCCGGCGAGGGTCCCACATGGCGCGCAGACCTCTCCTGCCGCCCGCTGCTCCCCTCAGCAGTGTACTTCGGTCCTTCTGCCTGCTCTGCTCCCCGCTCTGGCTCTGGTGAATTCTCTCGCCCTCCTGCGCTTCTGACTGTACCCGGTGCTTGTATAAATAAATAAATAAATCTTTAAAAAAAAAAAAAAAAGAGTCAGCCCTAATGTGAACTGACTTTTGGGTGATTATATCAGTGCAGGTTCAAAAATAACAAATGTACCCCTCTGATGGTGATACGTTGATAATGAGGGAGGCTGTGCATGTGTACAGGGTGGGAGTATATGTGAAATCTTCCCCTCAACTTTTCTGTGAACCTAAAACTTCTCTAAATAGATAAAATATTTATTAAAAAAATAAGGACAGAAAGAAGGGATGGAGAGAGGGAGAAGATAGCAAAGCAGAGAGGAAAGGTAGGAAAAAGGAGGGAGTAATGGAGAGGAAGGGAGGGAAAGAGAGAGAGAGATTCTGTGACTTCCTGCCAGCTCCAGCTGTATTGTTTGGGTTGGGTTTGGTTGGGGTTTATGGTTTTTTGGTTTTTGTTTAGTTCCTGCTATTGAGCTAATGTTGGTTTACAACACTGTATGGGATTCTGGGAAGTAGGTTCATACCTCATCAGATGTCTGTCACCCAGCCACACCCACCACCAAAACACCCACAGTCCTTTACTCTTTTACCAGTGGGCCCCCTCCCCTTTTTGTTCTCCCCCCGCCCCCCGCCCCAGTTCAAGCTGTATTGTTTTAACCCTTGTAAAAACCTGGAATTAAAGCCTTATTCACAATCCTCCATCAGTCCATGTCTATAGTTGGCCAGAGTTTACGTTGATAGGTAAACTTGATACTGAAACCTTAATATAACAAATGCTTTTGTTTGTTATTTATTTCTAGCTGATAATAGTAGAACTCTGAATGTGGATTCCACTGCAATGACTCTGCCTATGTCTGATCCAACTGCGTGGGCCACAGCAATGAATAATCTTGGAATGGCACCGCTGGGAATTGCTGGACAGCCAATTTTACCTGGTATGCTATTTTTAATCACCTCACAAGTGTTTCCTTTTATTGACTATGTGGTAATAAATATAACAGGGTGACGCAATTTATTTTGAAGTTGACATTTACCAGATTCTGCCTAGAGTGTGCATTTTTTGGTAATATGAGCTTTATAAGCTGGGTGACCAGTAATTACTACTATACTCCCTATGGCATGATGGACCAGCTGGAGGTATTTCTTTTGCAGCCTATGGCCACTGAACATTTAAATACCTCATTGAAATAAAAGGCAACAGGATTTGCAAAGAATTACAAAGCTTGTCTCCTTTTATGTATTTCTAAGAGGAGTCAAATAAGCGTAGAGCTGGAGTGAGAACTGACTTAACAGCTCAAAACTTTTAGATTGCTAAAGAGGACAAAATGAGATGGTGGGGGACATCAGAAAAACAGACTATGTCTTACATTAAATAGCTATTAGTATTTTTTTACACAAGTAACCCATGGCATAGTAACTCCATTTCCACTAAAGGTAAAATCGGAAGAAAACTGCCTCTGCATTTGAAAGGTTTAGTTTAACACCAAGAAAAAGCTTTCAGTACCATCAGCTATTAACCATTAAAATGGTTTTGTGAAGACATTAGAAAATTGCTGTCTTGAGCCAGGGTGTCTTTTAAACATCTTAAACATGAATCTTCCCAGTTACATTTAATGTGATCCTACTTAAAAGCACGAGGGTCTAGGACCTCGCTACTCAAAGTGTGGTCCACATAACCTGGGGGTCGTTAGGAATGCCAGAATCTGAAGCCCTAGTTCTGACCTACCGAATCAGACGCTACATTTTATATGATCCCCAGGGTTTTCCCAGGGACATTAAGAGTGAGAACCAGCAGCTCTCCTGCCTGCCTGTGACCTATGCAGGTGTTTCTTTTCACCCACATTCCTCCCTTTGCAAAGCAGCAGCGAGAGCTTCCTCCCAAGGCCGCCGACCTGTGACTATGCAGGTGTCTCTTTTCGCAAAGCTGTCCCTTTCAGAGGCAGCTCTTTCTGCCCGCCTGTGTCTGCGCAAGTATCCTTTATTCCCTCCCCTTTTTATAATAACCTGCCCTTTTGAATGTAAAAAAAGTGAGAAACAGAGCTAGAGTCTGCTAGTTTGTTGTGCAATCTGTTTATAAGTTAGCTACCTCCTCCCACCACCCCCCCCCGCAGATAACTTCATGATTCTAGATTTTGAATCCTTGTAGGTTATAATGGGAGTGAGGTAGGATAAGCAATACTTAATAACCTTAATAATGTTATTACATTGAAAGCGAGAATAAAAAGTCAAACATAAAGAAAAAAGATATGTGAATGAGAAAAAAAAAAAGGAGCTCAGATTCTGCATGTGGCGGAGACAAAGAACTGTCACACCAAACTGAAATTCATACCATGGGCTGTAGCAACCAGACCTCATCTGACTCTGTTAGCCCAACCATGATTGAAATGAGCAACCAGTGTTCCTCTGAGGGCTAAGATGATTGGACCACGGACCTCCTGGTACTTTCTTTTGGTATGTGTACTTTTAAAGTTGTTAGCACATTTTTAAAACTTTCTCACTGAAATAACATTTAACATTGGTTTATAACATTACATAGGTTTCAGGTATACAGCATTATATTTCAGTGTCTCACCACCCAAAGTCTAGTTTCCACCTATCACCATGCATTTGGTCCCTTTTACCTGATTTATCCCCTTATTCTCCCTTTCCCTAGTGGTAACCACAATTTTGCTTGCCTCTAACACCAGAAACAAAAGTGTTAGCAAAGAAGTGGAGAAAAGAGAACCCTCATACACTGTTAGTGGAAAGGCAAAATGGTGTGGACACTATGGAAAGTAGTATGGAGATTCTTCAAAATATTAAGACTAGAAATAACATATGATCCAACTGTTCTACTCCTGGGTATTTATCCAAGGAATATGAAAACACTGATTTGAAATGATATATGCACCCCTTTGTTCGTTGCTATTCACAGTAGCCCAGACTTGGCAACAATCCTCGAGTTTTAAATAACTAACAGAGCCGGTCTGGGATTGGAGGGTATTAGGACAAGAGCCAATATTACATTGCGGTTAAGAGCTCAGACTCTACAGTTAATCCACCTGATTTCCAAGCCTGTTTCTTTCTACTTCATCTTGGGCAGTAATAGATCTTCTGTGGGACTCAATTTCCTCATTCATAAGATCAGACTAATAGTACCTAACCCTTAAGTTTGTTGTGAGAATTAAATTGTGTCTAGCATACAGTGCTCAAAAACGGTGGCAATTAAGAATCATTCTTTTCAAGTGAAAATCAAAATCAACAAAAAACTATGAACCAGAGACACTCTATGGGGGGTAGAGGGCGGGAGGGGAGGGGTTGGGGTCAAAATAAGGGGGTTGCAATTGTATGGGGAATATAAAAATAAAATTTATTATAAAAAAAAAGAATCATTCTTTTCTAATGACTTTTACGTTATTTTATAAACCATTATTAGCATATGTTCTCATGGACATTTCTAAAGGAAGTGATGGGGTTTTGTTTCATTTTTGTTTATTTCATTAAAATAGAATTTAACTATTAAAATAGAATTTGAAATATTATGTATTATTTTGACTCCACCCAGAATGGTCCTGAATCACAATCCTTTATAGTTTAGAGAGACTGGAAAACCTTACTTGGCTTAAATGTGTATGGAAATCTGAACTGTATGGGTGGATGTCACAGGAAAATTCTTGAGTCCAAATCTGCTCTGATGTCAAGGGTACTAAGTTTCAGGTTACATCAGATTACTTGTAAATCAGCACATCTGAGCATAAACCTATGCTCACAAAGTAATCTTCATTGCCAAGCCACCCATCTATCACGTAAAGCAAAAAAAGGCTTAACTCAGAGAGTAAAAGATCATTCAAGCCATCATTACAGGCTCTAGAGTGGTTATAATTCCTACCTCTATTCCCCTTTACCTACATGTTGTTTTCTCTTTTGTTTGTTTTATTTTTTTTTTATTGAAGTACTGTTGGTTGACATCTTGTTAGTATTTTGGGAGTATAGGGTCTCCCCCTTCAGTCCTCCTTAAGGACTATGAAGAAATGGCTTCTCAAGGTCCCTTTCAACCTTGTGATTCAGTGATACTCTAGCTGTGTGCCAGAAAAATTAAAAATCCATCCTGTTCTAGAAATACTGATACTTAGTTTGGTAAGCCCTTCTTGGCTTAAAAGTGCATGGGACACTAGCACTGGACCAAGGCATACTTCATAAGCTTTGTGTAAAATCACTTGAGTTCTGTGTGAAATCATTTTCTCCTCTCTGTATTATTTTAAGAAAGCAGTTTAAAATCAAGATTAGAATATGGATTCTGGGTTCAGACTACCTAGATTCAAATAAATCCATGCTCTGCCATTAAGTAGTTATGTAGCAGTTGGCAAGTTATTTAACCTCTGTATGCCTGAGTTTCTTCATCTATAAATGAAGTCATAGTGGCACCTTAGTCACAGGGCTGTTATGAGCATTAATGAGTTAATGCATAATTAATGTATATAAAGTAAAGTTAATAAATATAATGTCTTAGAGTAATGTTTGGCTCACATTAATCCTTCAGTGAACTCAGCTATAATTATTATTGCTTCAAATTCACATCTGATATATGATTCACAAAAATTTGAATTGTGGCTCATTTGTATTCTTAACAGTGAAGAATAACAAATGCAGGGCTGAGATTTTTCCCTGGTGACGCACTGGACAGTGGTAGGTGAGGAGAACAATGTGTCTTACACTGCTGATGACTGGACTACTCCCTACATCGAGTGGCATGTCCCCAGAATTAGGCACTCAGTGCTGTCTGCCCTTCTTGCCAAGGTCTGGGTAAGAGGGTGCCATCATCTTTATTGTGTAATGTTTCAACTGAATGGGCTAAAACTTCCCTCTAGTCTCTCCCACTCAAGATCCCTTACAATGGAAAAGCAGCAAATGAGCCATATGCATCTGTTTTCCAAGGGGGCCACTCATTGATGGCTCAATAATTCAGCTACTTTTCTGCCCCTTAGTAAGCATCCCACTGAGCTAGCCGACTTTTCTTTGTCCTGTCTCATCTGGCCTATCCGTAACAATAGAAAAGGCTTTGGCAATGATGAAAAACAAATGATACTGAAGCTTCCTTGACTTCCTCCAGAGAGCTCAAATCTGTACTGTCTTTTGGACACACACTTGCCCTCAAGGCAGTGTCTGGGTTATTCTGCCCACTCTGTGGAGAGCTGAGACAGGCCATCTCTGGGGTTTGACGTGGAGCTCACATTCACCTAACTTGGCATTTTCTCCAGCTGCTCTTCAATGAAGTTAATCCACATGGCATGATTAGGAGCCCCCTCTGACTGGAAGCTGTCTTTCCTGCAAGACTCTTTGCTTTTCTAAGCTGGTCAAATAAGACCAAAGTTGGTTTTCAAATGAAGAAAGGCATCGAAAAAGAGCCAGGCCTTCTGCTAAGAAGGATTTTTCCACCCATCACCTTAGATGAATGGAAGGATGGACCAAGTAAGGGGTGCTCATTGAATACTGTGTGTTGTTTTCTTTATTTCCCCCCTCAATTAAAATATCCTTAGGAGCCCATCTGGCCTTTCTGACATCCCAAGAGAGAAGAGTCTCTCCTTATGGTGTCTCCTCTGTGTTGGCTATGTTACCTCCATAGTGAAAGATGTTGGAGAATGTAGATTCATGGACCTTATTCCCAGAGCAAGATTCTGCCCATCAATGGGCGTTGTCACTTTTTGTGTATTTTAATTGCTTTTATTGCACATAAGCTATTCACTGCATTCAGTTCAATATATTCAATATTGTGTGTGTTGCCTTTTTATTAAATATAAGTTTAATAGAAAAGTTTTAGATTTATAGTCAGTGCTGATCATTGTATTTATAAATGAAATAAAGGCCTTTATTGATATCTCATTTTGAAAGCAGGGAGAGGCTGGTAAAGTAAAATGATTTCTAGTAAAATTATTTAAATCCAGGAGGAGAAAGAGAAAACTAGAATAAATTCATTTTTTAAAAAATTATCCATCCATGCACACAAGAACTGGGGCACAGGCCAGAGGTGTGGGGCGTGAGAGGACTCACCAGAGACAAAGTGGGGAACAGAACAGGCAGATTGACTGAAATACACTGCTGAGGGGAGCAGAGGGCGAGTCAGGAGAGGTCTGCTGCGCCATGTGGGCTGCTCCCCGGCCGGGGATCGAACTCATGTTGCAGTGACTGCGGATTGCCTCACAGGTTGCGTCTCAACCCCTTGTGCCACCTGAGAGGCCCAGAATAAACTCATTTATAGTAGTACAGTCAACAATTGAGATTTAAAGGATTCCATTAAAAGCTGAAAAATCTACTAGAAAAAATGGTAAATAAAATAGGATTAAGACTACTATAAAAGTATAAATACAAAATTGACTGCTAAAATAAAAGATAAAAACCTTGAGTCACAATGGTTTTTGAAAAAAAATACATTAGGTAAGGAAACAAGCAAATATAATGTAACTCGCATTATTGTAAAATGCTATTATAGTTAAAAAACATTACTCATGTCAATAAATATGAATGGACTTAAATCAATTACATCAAAAATTATCAGTTTGTCAGAAAATAGAGCCCAACTATATCCTTTATGAAAGAGTGATTCAAAAACATTAAGAGAATGAACAATGGTATTCCAAAGAAATAAGAAAGCAAGAACTATCATCTTGATATCAAACTGAGAACAGTTCAACCTCAAATACATGAAACATGAAAATACTTTTTAATGGCACAAGTTGCAGTTCACCATATGAAAATTATGAACACTTGTACATCAAATAACAGTAAGGCCACCTTATAAAAACTATAGAAGATGCAGGGAGACATATACAGAAACATAGGAGACTTTAAAGCACCTTTAAATAATAGGAGACTTTAAATAATAGGAGACTTTAAAGCACCACTCTCAGTTCAAGAGAGATCAAGTGGATAAAAAAAAAAAAAGTAACATGTAGAAGACAGAAAAGATATACTGAGATTGGCATTGTCATTCTTGGGAGATAGTTCTCCCTGGACCGAGAAAGCCAAGTTTGATGGTAACAGAAGCAAAGAATGAGGACGTGCAATACATGACGGGCCACTCCTCTACAGGCTCCTCAAGGGGGTCTGGACTTGAGTTTCTGTTATTTTTAATATCTTCCACTGATAGAAGATGTCTTCATTAGCAGATAAGGTTGAAATTCTGAGAAAACACTCTTTTGTACATCATCATGGTGGACACTTCACCAAGAGCTAATAGTAGATAAAGCACTAAACCAATTAGAATTAATGTCTCTCCAAAACATCCTTGAAGCCTACCCAGTGATGGTGCTCTCAAGACTCCTCTTGGAATCTATTATGAAGGATTATCAAGTGACCACTTATTCTTCATTCATACCAAAGCTATTTACTGAGACCTGCTGTATACATTGTACTGCCAGAAGCCCTGAGGATAAATGAATGAACAAAAAGGTCAAAGATTCCTGCCCTAATTAAGAAAATCATCCCATTTACAATTGTGCCCCCCAAAACTAAATACCTAAGAACAAATCTAACAAAAGATGTCAAAGACCTATATGAGGATAATTATAAAACATTCTTAAAAGAAGGCACAAAGATATGGAAAGATATTCCCTGCTCATGAATGTGGAAAAGCAGCATTATCCAAATGCCCATCCTACCCAAAGCAATTTACAGTGTGTTGTAAATTATTGGACTTCTTTGATATTTTAGGTTCTGTAGTACTTGCATAAGACCCATGAGTTCAAATGGTTGTTTTCTTGGTTGACATTGGAAATTGACATCTACTTTTGTAATTAGTGGTTGAAGATAAACAAAAGAAATAATCAGTGTGATAGGAGCCTTTGAAATGTCATGTTCTCCTGCTCTCTAGCAAGCCCTGATGGCCAGGGTAGCCTGTGGAACTCCTGGCCTATTAAACACAAGGAAGAAAGGGCCTTTATCTACTCTGGCTGTAACCATATGTCGTGAAGGCATCTGTTTTTAAATGAATTTCATACAATATTAATGTAACCTACCAAACAGCAGAGTGGTGAGTACATCAGTCAGAAGTTATATTTATCCTGTGTGTTTGTTTTTTTTGTTGGCCTCCATTTCTTGGTAGACAGTGCGTGGAGACAGGCATTTCTTTCTGTCAGAGTGGCAGAACTTGTTTAATGAACTAATGTTTCTGTAATCTGTGGTAAGGTAGAGTTGTGGGTGACAGAACTATATGAATAACAGTGAGGAGGCAGTGGAATCATAAAAGGAAGACAAACATTTCAATAGGAGAGGGAAAATAGGTAGGATGGTTTCGTTGGCACACAATCTAATCTGACCTTTCCCTACTGAAAATTAACAGTTTGGAAATGGGTGAGATGTTGTGACCAATTTTCTGAAATCGTCTACACAAGGAATCAGATTTTCCAAAGACATAAACCCCATTCTTAACCACGGTGTTCCTATTCTACAGCATAGAAACACATGGTATTGGGGTCTTAAGTTCCCCAAGTTAGGAAGGAAGGACTGAACTCCTGCCCACCCCCGTACATGGAGCTTGACATAGAGGAGGCCATCACAAATGTTTCTGGAATATGGGAATGAATGTCTGAACCCATATGAATCCCAATCTCCATTTCTCCCCTGGGGGCGCTGTTCAATCTTCTATGCTACCTGAGGGTCAACTTGATGTCCAAGAAGCTCCAGGGCTCATGCCTATAGAGTTCTCCAGAGTCTTGGTTCTAGGAGCATAAGCTGGCAAATGAATCAACCCAGCTGGCTGACACAGTATGACTTTCACATCATGTGACATATTGCATGAATATGGTGTTGACAGTGATTTGGGTTGAATCAAATTGTAAATATAGACAAACCTCACACGACAACATTGCTTTGGGGCCCTGCCTATCATAGATGCATCCCTGAATGAAACAAAGGATGATGCAAAATAAAATAAAATTCAGTGGCAACAGACATAGAACAGATTTTAGACAGCAGTAAGAATGATCCAGACTTACCTGAAAAGTGTTCTTCAGGGAGGGTGGCAGTTAAACCAGGTTTTAAAGCATAGGGATAATTTGGGGGATGGGTGTCTCAGATGATTCCAGGCAATGAAAATGGCATGATCAAATGCATAGAGAATAGTTATTTATTGAGCATTTTCATTTATGAATGGTGCTAAGCACATTACATTCATGATTTTGTTTATTCCTCGCAGCTCCTTGTACAGTAGAGCGTATTAGCCTTATTTTGCAAATGAGGAAATGGAAGTTTGCAAGATTCATCCTGCTAATGAAAAATGGTAGAACTAGGACCCAGGCCTGCCTTATCCCCAAAGCTGTGTGCTCTGAACACCATACTATACTGCAATGAGACAGCAAGTGCTGCAAGGGAGAACAAGAAGCCTTGGCTGACGGGAGCAGAGGGTGTATGTTGGAAACTAGTGGAAGGGCCTTCGATATTGAAATGAGATGTAGAGGTTTAAATAGACACTGGTCAAAAAAAAAAAAACAACAGCCCCATTTCAACAGGAAAATGCACAACTATAATATATTTAAGACCTGGCGATGCTAGCTTTCTGTTTTTGTAAATATTTTGCCTCTGTCATTGAAAGACCTTTGGTTTGAAGCTTATAAGAGTCTGCTCCACTTGACCTCGCCTACTGTCATTTATTGTTTTCTCTTTCCTTTCCTTTTTTAGACTTTGATCCTGCTCTTGGAATGATGACTGGAATTCCACCGATAACTCCAATGATGCCTGGCTTGGGAATCGTGCCTCCACCAATTCCACCAGATATGCCAGTAGTAAAAGAGATCATACACTGTAAAAGCTGCACGCTCTTCCCGCCGAACCCAAGTAATATTCTGCTTTGCTCCATGCAACTCACAATGTTTTGGTGTCTAGAAACACTTTCTTCTTTTTCAAAAGAATACCCGAGGGCTTCATAGTTGTATATATAGACGGTTCACCTAGAAAACAGAAGATGGGAAAATATTCCCTTACTAGGCAAGGCTGAATTTTAGGCACTGAACAGTAGATTTCTGTATGCTGGTTGCAGTCCAGATGATAAAACATGTTTCTAAGGCCACTCATAAGGAGCTGAAATGTGTTGGTACAGAAGGAGGCACCTGACATGAATCGTTCAACACTGTCATTTGAAGGCTCTCCTTTTCATAACCAGCCCACATGCTGATGAGGCAGAAAGAGAGTGAGGCCTGAAGCTCCCCTGAAGCACACGAGAATGTACATTTGGTACTAAGAACTCGCCACTGCTACCAGCTATGCACACATCACTCAAATTACTGCTGGACAACTGATGGGTGGTGATAGGCAGTGAGGTGAAGTTCGACTTACTATGAGAGTGGAGAGGAATATTGAGGTTAAGTCAGACTACCTGCAGCCATCCAGTCAGTGCAGTTCATGTGGAAAAGATCTAGGGCTCTATCTTGTCAGTAATGAATAGGTTTCTTCTTGGACTCCTCAAAACATCTGCAAAGATGGGGTGGCCATCTTTTGTTGAAATTCTAGCAGCAACAATAGTTGACTCAAACTTTTTTTCTGGATCTGTTTGGAGTTCTGTTTGTTTAAAGGATCAGAAGCTACTTCTGCATGTCACCCAAGCCTCATTAGAACATCTCCCACTGTTCTAACGGTGCTGCCTGGCTTACTAAAGGGAACCCCCACTATAGTGCCTAGAGAGTAGAGCTTTTAAGGAACACGCTCAAAGGTTCAGGCCATAGATCAAATGAACTTGCCTTATCATGATAAACATGAACCTTTGGCGTGCGACTTCAGTCAACTACATCATCTCCTACTTCACACAGGGATCAGTTAATCATAGTATCAGGCCCTGACAGAGACACAGAGTCCACTTAGTATGGTCTGTTCGTAACCAAGAGAATTTGAGTCACTTCGGGTTAGTAAGATACATCATCTTGGCTCCTTGCTAGTGAAGAGTGTTCTAAATACCTTCTTCAGTTCCTTGAACTTGGTGATCATCAGGGTACTTTTTGCCAAACCATTAGGAGAACTAGGAGGCCAGCCTCTCAAGAGGACCATGTTGGGAGAAGAGCTAGCATGTCACAGGAGAGTAAAACAACCCTAGGCAGTCTTACCTGCCATCTCAGGTGAATGAGCAGGGCTGTTGTACCCTAGTCTCTTTTTTTTCTATTTAAATTTTATTTTTATATTCCCCATACAATTACAACCCCCTTATTTTGACCCCAATCCCTTCTTTCTCCACCCCCCACTCCCCATAGAGTCTCTTTGGTTCATAGTTTTTTGTTGATTTTGATTTTCACTTTCTTATAGTTATTCATTTTCCTGGTCCCTTATTTAAGTTTTCTAGATTCCTGCTATGAATGAGACCATCCGGTATTTTTCTTTTTCTTTCTGGCTTATTTCGCTGAGCATGATCCCTTCCAGCGCCATCCATGTTGCTGCAAATGGCATGAGTTTATCTTTTTTGATTGCTGAGTAATATTCCATGGTGTATATGTGCCCACATCTTCTTGATCCAGTCATCTATTTTTGGGCATTTGGGTTGTTTCCAGAGCTTAGCTATTGTAAATAGTGCTGCTATAAACATAGGGGTGCAGGTGTTCTTTGGAATTGATGTTTCTGTGTCCTTTGGGTAAATACCTAGGAGTGGAATTGCTGGATCATATGGAAGCTCTATGTTTAGTAGGTCCAGAAATCTCCACACAGCTCTCCATAGTGGTTGGACCAGTTTGCACTCCCACCAACAGTGCAGGAGAGTTCCTTTTTCTCCACAACCTCGCCAACATTTGTTGTTGCTAGTTTTTTTAATATGTGCCATTCTCACTGGTGTAAGATGGTATCTCATGGTAGTTTTGATTTGCATTTCCCTGATGACAAGTGATGTTGAACATTTTTCCATATGCCTGTTAGCTTAGTGCACATGTCTCTGCAAAGGGACGATGGACTTTTCCCTCTTTCTTCCAACATGTTGCTTGTGGATTCGAGAAAGCTGTACACCCGTGATACAGCCATTTTTACTTGAAAAGCCATGAATTTAGGTATTGACAGTTTTAAAAGCTCCTGCTTATGAAAAGGTAAAACCCTGCAGATTTAATCATTAATTTATCACATAGCCTGCATTAGGCTTGCATTGTCTTGATCAAGTCTAACCTAACAGGATGGCTCATGACCTGTAATGTCTAGATTGGGTGCAAAAGATGACTTTACAAGATGCTCAGCTTCTAATTTCCAAAGAAACAGAGATGACTTGTGCCCAACAGACCACTTTGTTGAACAGTCTTTAAACAAAGTACAAATACATGGCTTACGAGGACTCTGACTTTCGACAGTCTCTAGTGAAAGAAACAGACATCTCTCAAATGTTTTTATCTTTCCCCACCCACTGCTTTCTCAGTTCTGCATTGGAAGGGCCACAGTGTGAGAGGGAAAAATTTTGCCTCCACAGCTCAGTCCTTTAGTTCTTCATCTCTGCGTTAAGAATGCTGACAGATTTTGATTTTTTCTTTCTTATAGTTATTCTTTTTCCTGGTCCCTTATTTAGGTTTTCTAGATTCCTGCTATGAGTGAGACCATCTGGTATTTTTCTTTTTCTTTCTGGCTTATTTCGCAGAGCATGATCCCTTCCAGCTCCATCCATGTTGCTGCAAATTTCATGTGTTTATCTTTTTGACTGCTGAGTAATATTCCCTTGTGTATATGTACCAACTATGAATGCTGAAGTTAAAACTAAATTTGCACACCTCATCAAACTTACTAATTACTAAATACTACTTGATAAATACCCTTATAATCAGTTTCTCAAAACACAATCCCTAGCCTAAAATAGATTTATTGGGTAATATTACTAAACTGAGACAAAAATAAACAATTTTGCAAAGAACCATAGTTTGAAAAAAGGGAGAAAAAAAAAGAATGCTGACAGAGCAACTAGTGACAGTAAAGTGGTGGCTTCTGAGAATGAACCTGGCTTTGGAATTGAATTCATAATAACACTCCTACACCACTTGAAGAAAACTGCTATCTATTTCCTTTGTAGAACTTGAATTTTGTTAAAAGGGGGCTCAGGCTAACTGGGCGGGAAAAGCAGTAACAGAGAAGCCTCCCTGGGTTCTCAGCTGAAAACTCGGCAAGTGCCTTTTTTATTAATAGTCCCAAGACTTTTTGAAGGTGAGATGGAGAAAACTGGAACTTGGTATGGCTGAATCCTTTATCTTCTCCAGACCCAAGCAACCCTGTCTGATAAGATCTTGATTAGAAACTTACCTCTCTGCTATAGACTCTTGCATTCAGTGACTTCTGATATTGCAATAAGGCTGCAATTTAGGGTCCCTCATAGTCTTTCATGTACCCATTCGATCTGTTCCTAAGTCTCGTTGCTTCATTAGAAAATAATTTAACCATCAATTCCTTTCCCTCTCTCCTACGTGACTCTTAAGCCAGGTGCTTTTCACCTATACAGAACCCTAAAATAGTCCTGGGGTCCCATCCTGAGTCTAACTCCTGCTTCAAGAACCTTTCATTTGTGTGCCTCATGCGACTGTCTTCAGTTCACAAATTTCCTCTTGCTACTTACCACCCTTTAGGCAGGTTCAACTTCTTCCTCACCCCACACTCCTCTCCTATCCTAACCCTCTATTGGAACATTTCTACATGAAATGTACTGAAATTAAAACAGTAGTTAGTCATTCATCACACTAATGCATTTCCACTTAAATATTGGGTGTTAAATCCAATAGACACTGTTTAGTCCTTACAATAATTTATCTCCCTGCTATATGTAGCACTATTGACCCTTTTATCCTTCTTGAAACATTAGACCATTTACAAGTATAATAACAACTGAGATCACCAGAGAGATGATATAGATCAAGAAGGGAAGATGTCCAAGTAGAGCACCCTGAGGAAGTCCAATAATTCAAAATTGTTGGAACAATTCAAAATTGTTAGCAATTTAAGCCTCTAAAGGATTCATCTTTCTGAGCTGTTTCCAGTTCTTCTCTTCTTCTTAAATCTTCAGTTATGCTTTTTCCCTACCCTTCTCTCAAAATGTTCCTTCTTTAAGAACACTAGTGCCTTTGTAACACTAAATCGAATGGTCAATTTTCAATTCTCTTTATAATTGACCTAATAGCCATATGTGATGCAGTCGATTACTCCTTACTTCTTGACATCCTTTCTTCACTTGCTTCTAGGACACCACACTATTGGTTTTCCTCCCACTGTCCTGTCTGCTCTCTTGCTGGTAACCTTCTCTCCTCCCTGATTTCTTATCATTGGAGAGCACCCACTCTCTGTGTCCAGACACATAGGAAAGTGCCCAGGAACTTAAAAAAAAAAAAAAAGGAGCATTTTATTTTGCATTTTACGATCTCAAAACAAGCAGACCTCATTTTGTCTTCTGGAGCTGGATTCTATAAAGAGAATTAGGGAAAGAGGATAAATTGAGAATTGATAAAGATTGTCAAGCCTTCTGATTATTTCCAGTCAGTTGGGATTACATTAAAATCCATCTGACCCCTGCTGATTATCTAAGGGGCCTTCAACCTTGGACTGTCTAATAAAACCAAAGACTTTGTAGTATGTAAATTCTTTTTTTTTTTTTTTTGTGGGACCCTCACCAGCGGCTGGGGAACGAACCAGCGCTGCAGAGGCTGCGGGAAGCCTTTGCAGCCCAGCGCTCAACCGCTGCGCCACCAGGGGAGGCCCTGTAGTATGTAAATTCTAGCAAACCAGTTTAGTAGTCTGTGATGCTCTTTTTTTTTTTTTTTTAATAGAGGCATGCTTTTTATTTATTTGTTTGCTGGTTTGTTTGTTTGTTTTGTTTATACATGCACTGGGTACAGTCAGAAGCGCGGGAGGGTGAGAGAATTCACCAGAGCCAGAGCGGGGAGCAGAGCAGGCAGAAGGACTGAAGTACACTGCTGAGGGGAGCAGCGGGCGGCAGGAGAGGTCTGCGCGCCATGCGGGACCCTCCTCCGGTGTCCGGGGAGCAGCTGGGGATCGAACCGGCGCCACAGAGGCCGCGCGCAGCTTCGCAACCCAGCGCTCAACCGCTGCGCCACCGGGGAGGCCCTGTGATGCTCTTTTGAAAGATACAGGTGGTTTCTAGATCCTCCATGCTGCTCCCAGCCTCACTTCTCGAAGATCATCAGTAACTCTTATCTTAATGCTGATTGCTCCAACACAGCTCCCGGAGGTGGATGTTTGGATAATTAGAATTGCTAGAAGCTCCTCCTTTTCCATTACCAGAGATTAGAATTCTTTATACTTCCAGTTATCTTGAATTGTTTTACATGAAAGTTTTCTTTTTCTCCAGTTGGAGTGGAGATTGGGGTGTTACAAGAGCTAAGCACATTACCTGATTAATAGGTGGACTTTGAATTTGCTTTCCTATGGAGTTATCGTGGCTATACTAAGATCACTGTATTTCAATGGGATTCGGAAATCAGGTTCAGGAAACAAAGTGCTTTGAGCTGTTAATTAAAGAACAGTACTATCCATTAAGGAAGATAGTGCAGCCTACTGCCTTGCTTGGTGCCATACACCTAAATCTCAGCAAATGCTATCAAAGAGGCTTTCTACATTTATCTAAGGAAAACAAATAAATCCTCAGCATTCTTGACACAACACTTACTGGCTTTTATACTCCTTGACTTAGCAGAGAGTCACCCTAGAATAATCACTATATCTAAGTACTGTGATTATTTCATCACCGAATTTTTAAAACCCACAAATGTAGTCAGGGGAAAGAATCTTTGTGTCTTCAGTGTTATAATATACAACTGTAGCAGTAACCAGACATTCCTTAGTCTTTCAGTGGACAAAGGTAAACCTAACTAAGCAAACTCAAATAAAATAAAAAAAGGTGATTATTTAGCTTCACAAAAAGACTCTTTGCCATTGAATTCCTTCAAATTGTAAACTTCAGAAGTCTTTATTCTAAAACAGGATTTTAGACGCCTTTGTTTTGAAACTGTGGCTCTAAATTACATAGATACCCAAATGCTGATTGGGAATGTTCTTTACCTAAATAGTCAAAGACTAGATTGTGTTCCACACTCAAAACCATATGTGTCTTCATAGCTATAGGGTCCTCTGTTGGTAAAATTGATTCCTTCCCAAACCCAGTGTATCTAAAGGTCTGGATAAAGCAAGGTATGGGGAGTTTAGATGCCCAGGTCTTCTCTACCACTCCAGTCTGGACTTGTGATAGGGCTTTGGAAAGCCTGAGATTGGTAATTAAGAAACCTGAGTTCTATAATAGCAAATAATAGTAACATTATAATGACAACTGGTAGGGAACCTGGAAAGCGCTAGATACCGCATGCCATACACACAATATATTATCAATTATCCTACCCTTCTCAGGTATATTATCAATTATCCTACCCTTAACATGTAAGGGACAATATCCCTATTTTATAGATGAAAACAAAAATGATTTTCTTAAAGGTTATGTTATTTTCCCAGTGAGTAATTAAGCTAGGACTTAAATCAAGGTTTACCTGTTCCAAGTTCATGTTCCTTCTCTAATTTGAGGACTTTGAATGCATCACTTTAGCTCACTCAGCTAAGGGTTCTTCCTCTGTAATATGAGAAGTTTAGATTAAGTCAGTGGTTTTCAGCCCCAGTTACACATTAGAATTGCCTGAGGATCTTTTGAAAAATAATGTGCAGGCTTCACCCCCAACTAATTAAATCAGAGTCACTGGAGTGGAGCCCAGTCAGTGTTTGGTTTTGTTTGACGCCCCAGTTGATTCTAATGTGCAGCCAGCGTTGATCAGCACTAGAAGTATGATGTCTAGAATCTTTCAGTTTTTAAGAACACAAAAGCATAAGTCATGAGAGATTCTGGACTTTATTTTCCCCTTTCCACTAAAACTATAACCTTTCTAGTATCTGTGACTAAGACATTTCAGATTCTGGCTCACTTGCTTATCTTTTTCTCTTTAAGTTTCTCATATGGAACATAAATCAAGACAGTAAGTTCTTGAAATTAGAGACAATTAAAAAATTAACAGAAACTTTGTAAGTTCCCTGACTCTGTTTACCCCTTTAATTGACTGAATAGAGGAGAAGACAACTTCAGGAACAAAACGGATTATCCCGAACCGCACTGATTAAATAGGCAGTGGGAGCAAAGGGAGGAAGCTATAGGTACCTGAGGAAGCACCCACACCATCTGCCTGCCAGCTTGGAAAAGCGTCAGGTGGGCACCTTGGCCTGCTCTACAAAGTGAAACACATTTATTTTTGCATGTTAGCTGTAATCACCGGTTGAGCTCTCCAAATCTGCAGCTGGGAGAATTATTGTTAAGAGCTGAATGGAAAGAGCGGATTACACAAAATAAATCCTTGCAGATACAAAACCAACACTAGAAAAACCCTTGACCATCATGCTTTGTTTTGGGGGGCTATGAACTGTAAGATTTTGCTCAGAAGATGCTTTGATACATAGAAATAGCAACAAGGAACTGGCAGATACAAGCTTTATGTATAAGATGAGTGAATAGAAAGCATATTTTTTAAGCAGAGAGAGAAACATCTCATTAAGTATGTTTTTAATGACTCTCTATAGCCAAATTTATCTCACTTTAGTTAATAATTTCCCAGATGAGCTTCCTTTCTCTGCTGTCTTTCACGCTTCCTTCTAAATGCTGAATGATCAGTTCTGGATCTTACCTTTCCAGCAAGGAATTTGAGAAGGGTTCCCTGCTGTCAAAAAACAAACAACCTAAAAGGGATGGGTTGTCCTCTGGCTGAGTTTGTTAACCAACTCATTCTGACGGGTATAAATATTTTTGTAAATATTCACTCCATCATCAAATGAATCCTGAAACAGTTCTTCCAGTGAGCCTGAACACAGTGTATGTAGTAACTACACACTCAGTTGAACAAACCCTTCTCTTGGGGACATTGGTTCTGAGATTTCCTGAAATTTTTAATTCATTAAGTGGGATTTCCCTCCACTGCCTTCTTGATGACTGAAAATCGGGCAGAGTTGGGTTGCCACAACAAAAGTAAAGAACAAAATTAAATAAACCTTCACTGGAGTGGACAGGTATGTCTGAGTCTTTATATAACCTGTAGATGTCATGGTCACCAAACAATTGAATAAAATGATTTTGAGCCTCATGCAAACAATTTACTTGGAACAGAGAGATGAGCACCTTGGAGGTGACTTGCTTCCTCCAGCATTCTCATGCAAAAGTTTGATGGGGACAGTTGGGCTATCTTTGAGACATGTTAGCTTTCCAAGAGGTCTGTCTCAAATAAATATTTTAATTTCAAATGCTTTTGCACTTACTGTAGATCTTCCACCTCCTGCAACCCGAGAAAGGCCACCGGGATGCAAAACAGTATTTGTGGGAGGCCTGCCTGAAAATGGGACCGAGCAGATCATCGTGGAAGTGTTCGAACAGTGTGGCGAGATCATTGCTATTCGGAAGAGCAAAAAGAACTTTTGTCACATTCGCTTTGCTGAGGAATACATGGTGGACAAAGCCCTATATCTGTCTGGTACGTGTTTCGTTGTGCGGGCTGTGCCCACCAGGCACAGCAAATATTGGGGGTCAGTTTAGGGTCTTCAATAGCACCCAACTGTCTATAGGACAACTGTAAAACTCCTTATTTATATCACCTAATGTCCTTAATAATCTGCTCTACCTCTCGGTGCCATCTCCCAATCCCTCCTTCACACACCAAGTCCCAACCACACTGAACTAATTCAGGTTCCCAGAATTTGCTGTGGTGTGTTATGCCTTTTCTTCTGACTAGAATTAGCTTCTGCATCCTCACCCGCACACACACATCTTCTAATCCTAAATGCTCCAGCTCAAGCATAACCTTTCCTGGAAAACTTTGTCTGACTTCTATATGCTGCCTCGGGCTGCTTTGGGCACTCTTTCCTCGCTGCTTCTGCAGCACCCAGTGACTCCACCTAAGGTGATACCTGTAACACCATGCTAGAACTGTCTCCACATGTCTCCCTGCCAAAGTGTGAACACAGTAGAGGCAGAGATTGTGTCTTATATAACTCTGAGTGCCCAGTATCAAACACATAACCTGGCACAAAAAGAGAAGCTGAAAATAGCTAAAGAAATCAGTTACCAAGTTTGTATTGACAGCTAGGCAGAATGATAAGATATTGAGAACACAGCAAAGACCAGGACAGAGTTCTTGCCATCAGGGATATTACATTCTGGAAATAGCAAAATATGAGATATGTATGAATAAATATCAGGTAGCATTGATCAGTGCTACAAAGAAGATAAAAATGGTTAATGTACCTAGGATTATTAGGAAAACTAGTTTTCACTAACATTTGAATTAAAACCTGAACAACATAAAGGAGGCTGCTCTGGAACATCTGGGGGAAGGGCATTACAAGATAAGGAAGAGCAAGTTAAATACCCTGAGCTGAAAATGGACTTGGCATGTTCAAGCAGAGAGGAGGTTACCATGACTGGAGCATAACAAATGAGAGGTAGTAAAGGGAAATGGAGTCTGAGAGGCAAGCAATACTGAATCACGTTGTGCCTTATACTCCACTGTAATGAGTTTATTATTCGGGATGCAATGAGAAGCCATTGGAGGATTTTAAGGAGTAGAGTGACAAAATATGATTTAGAAATATCACTTCTGATTAAAGGATGGACTGAGGGATGTGGGCAGTCGTGGTGACTGGGAGATAAATTAGTCAACTGTAGCATTAGCCAAACACAGAAGTGGCACTGGCTTATATAGTCCAGTAGTTGGAGTGGGGATAGTAAGAACTACTTTGTATAATATTTCTTGTTTGTAATAAGTTCAGATATGAGAAACTGAGGTAAGAAATTAGAATTTGAATAATTTCTGTTGAGTATTATAAAGAGAAACCCTTTGTTTTTTTTGGAGGGGTGGTTTCAAGATAAAGTTTCATGGCTGATAACTTTATTTTAAATTGGTATGCCATGCAGAATAGAAAATAAGTAAAACCTACTTCACCCCCTTAATGAACTTAGAGTTATCATGCAGCCATACATTCATTTATTAAAGAAACATTCAGTGCCAATCATTATTCAAGACATACTCATTGCTGGTAATAATAAGAAATTGAAAGTTATAAGTGCTATAGGAGAAGTATGAATAAAGTGGTATGGACATTCAGAAGAGAAAAAGAAAATATGTATTTCTGACTCCTAACTGAGGGTATCAAGAAAGGGAGCATTTGGACCAAGTGTTTGACACAGAAAAGCATTTGCATATGGACAATGGGCCATAATACAACCTGAGCAAAAGTACAAAGGGGTAAGTTCAAGGAAACAATGAATGTTGGTTTGTGTACTGAGCAGAGTTGAAAGGGAGAGGGAAAATATCAGTTGTTAGCATACTATTAAAGATTTTTTTTTCATTTTTTTCATTTTTTTATAATCCCCATACAATTGCACCCCTTTTATTTTGACCCCCAATCCCTCCTTTCCCCACTCCCCCACCATAGTGTGTCTCTGGTTTATAGTGGTTTGTTGATTTTGATTTTTTCTTTCTTTTTTTTCATGTCAATTCGTTTTTTTTTTTAATTTACTATTAAAGATTTAATGGAGAATAGTTGAAATTTTTGAACAAGGAAGATGATCGTTTCTGAAAGATTAATCTGACAACTCTGTATAAAAATGAATTAAGAGGAGAGAAGAGAAAGGGGGAGAGGAAGTCAATTAGAAGCGTGTTACATAATAGACCAGAGAAAAGGTAGTGAGGGTTTGAAAAAGTAGGCTGGTAACAGGGAAGGAGAGGAGGCAGATGTAGAATACGCGTATTATATTTTCTAAGTGCTGCAAAATCTAACTACTGAAGATTCAACAGACCTTAGCAATGATAACAGCACTTCACAATAGACTGTTTTAATAAGGTCTTGAAAAGCCCTAGCAGTTGTACATAAAAGATGACAGTGCTGCTTAGGTAGCATCCACCTAAACATCCCTGAAACCAGCTCTCTAGTAACAATCACCTCCTGGAAAGATTCTTAGTGCTGCCAAAGGAAAGGGGATTGCAATCAGTGATGTGAAAACAACTTTATTTTGTTCTTTATATTTGAAGCTACCTGCTGGAAGTTCACAAGTGCTAGAAATCTGAATTGGATAGCTGTTCTCCCACATTGTAAAAGAAAGAGGTCAAAGCAAACAAAGATACCCCAGAAAGGGGGCTACAACATGTAGGAATAATCTTTTTATTTCTATTGGAGTAGGAGAACTTTCAGAATCTGGAGTTGTTTCTAGTATACCAACCTCATAGCATCACAGCATCTTTTGTGTGTTTACATAGCGCTTTCAGATTATTCTCTTATTTGGCCCTCTCCAAGATCCTGGAAGGATAGGCAAGGTGGTCTTGAATAGCCCTATTTTTCTCATGATTCAACTGGTATTATTGCAATGAAAAATATACAATAAAAAATTTTAAAGAAAAAACAAATGACAGTATATTGTAAACTGTAAAGCAATAGTTGCTTGTGAAATTTATTCTTTCTCTTCCTAAAAAGAATGGGTGGTACTTTTAGTGTTATTGCACTTTATTCTTCATAACAGATTTATTGAAGAATTAATATAATCATTGACATACCATAAATTTCACATATTTCAAAAAAGCAATTTGATATACACACATACAGCTGTTATATCATAACCACATCAAAATAATAAATATATTGAATACCCCCACAAGCTTCTTCATGCCCCTTTTGTACTGTTCCTGCTACCCCTGTCCACTTCTCTCCCAAGGCAACCATTGGTCTGTTTTTAGGGTTTCATACAAATGGAATCATACATTATGTATGAACTTGATTCCTTTATAAAGATCCAGTTTGGTATCATTGACCCCGTGCTTGTATTTCCTTTAACTTTCTTTTTTTTTTTTAGCATAGGTCTGCTCATGATGAATTCTTTCAGCATTTGTATTGAATATGTATCAAAAAGAATTTATCTTACCTTTCTTTTTGAAACGTATGTTCTCTGGGTATTGTATTCTAGGTTGACAGATTTTTTCTCTTAGGTGTCACTCCACTACCTTCTGGCTTGCATTGTTTTCACAAAGAAATATGATGTTATCCATATCTGTTTTTTCTCTGTACATAATATATCTTTTCTCTGTGGCAGCTTTTAAGATGTTTTCTGCTTTTTGTTTTTGTTTTTTTGCCGCTGTTGAACAATTTGATTTTGATGGCCCTAGTGTAGTTTCTTCATGTCTCTAGTACTTGATGTTCATTGAACTTCTCAGATCTCTTAGCTTCCATCAAATTTGGAAATTTTCCTGTCCTTATTTAATCTTCAACTATTCTCTAACCTTTCCTCTCTCCAATCGGGGCCCTGATTAGGCATATATCTATATCTAGGTATCTAGATATAGATATATAGATATATCCACACACACACATATATATATATTATATACACACACATACAGCTCTCCACTGGTACACTATCCATATTGTCTGTCTTTTTTCACTCTGTATTTCATTTTGAATACTTTCTATTACTGTGTCTTCAAGTTCATTAATCTCCTCTCCCATAATGTTGAATGTGCCATTGGTCCTATCCACTGATTTTTTTTTTTCAACTCAGTCATTGTAGTTTAAATCTCCAGAAATTGGATTCTGGCTCCTTTTTATATCTTTTGTGCTTCTACTCAATATATTTAATTTATCTTTATGTTCTTAAGCATAAGTAATCCACTGATTATAGTTGTTGTCCTTATCTAATAATTATATTATCTGTAATACCTCTGTTTCTATTTTGATTGTTTTTTCTTTACTATGATTTTCCTACTTCTTTGCATCTTGGAAAATTTTTTGTTAGATATCACACATTTGGAATTTTACCTTATTGGGTGCCAGATACTTTTCATTACTATAAATATTCTTGAGCCTTGTCTGGGATGCAGCTAAGTAACTTGAAAAAAAATTATCCTTTTGGGTCTAATTTTTTAAGCTTATTCAACAAAACCAGAGCAAGGTCTAGTCTAGGTCAATTTTTCTCCACTAAGTGAGGCAGAACTCTTATGATTATTCTACCCAGTACCCTATAAATTATGAGGTTTTTCTGCTCTGCCTGGTGGAAAGAGGAACTATTCCTAGTCCTTTGTGAGCTCCAGAATTGTCACTTATTATGCTCATGTAGTTTCCACACATAAATGTGGACATCAATATTCAGCTAAACAATAGTGGAGAACCCACTTCAAATCTGTGAAGCTCTTTCTCTGTGTGACTTTCTTCTTTCCAGTGCTCTACCTTGTAAACTCTGTCTGCCATAGTCTCCCTAGAGCCCCAGTTTAGTCTCCTCAGGTGAAGAAACTGACATACTTTTCCTGAATTCACCTCCCTGTACTAAGGCCTGAAAAGTCTCTCAAAGCAGTAAGCTGGGAAAATAACAGGGATCACTTCATTTGGGTCTTGTCTCTCAATAATTGTTGTCTTTATGACCTTATGTCCTGTGTCTTAAAAACCATTGTTCATTATATTTTGACCATGCTCTTCAAGCTTGTTCTGAGAATGAAATGAGATAAATGTGTGTAGACACATGTATCTCAACTCCTAAAATTAAAAGGTTAATAAAAATTTAAAATTTCCCCCACTTTTTGTTAGGAGACATATCTTGGGTAGCATAGCTGGTAAAAAAGTGGAAGTAGGGACTTACATATCCTGGTTTTCTGGATGCTAGTCCTATACCACTTATATTACAATCACATTATCTCTTTGTTTTAAGGGTCCAAATCATGTCACCTGGATCACATATATATATCACTTCCCATCATATCTAATTTTTTTCCCAGAAAAAAAGATTCAGAGTCACCAAATACATCAAGGAAGGAATTTTAGGGATTGAAATGCCAAACTGAGCCATTTAAATTTCATCAAAATTCTGTGTGGTGATATTGAATGAGTATCATTGAAATTATCCAAAGACATCATAGTTTGGAGCCATTTCTAAATTCTTCCCAGCCCTCGATGCCATGTAAAGCCCATTCTTGATATTATTACTGAGCCTCCTTCAGCCAGAAGTAGGTGGCACATGGAGGAATTGAACACCTAAGAACAAGACTAACCAAACCCATAGGCTAGTGAACTGTTATCAGAAATGAGAGTATAATCCAAGTCTTTTGACAGTTCACCACGCTAGTAGTGGGAAGAAAGTTTGGGAATATGTGGTCCCTTGAAACAGCTGCAAGTGCATCTGAAAAGCTGAACTTAGTTGCTCACTCACTGGGCTACCTTGTACCCCCTTCTCTCCTTGCCTCTGTGCATTTAGGTTACCGCATTCGCCTGGGCTCTAGCACTGACAAGAAGGACACAGGTCGACTCCATGTTGATTTTGCACAGGCTCGAGATGACCTGTATGAGTGGGAATGCAAGCAGCGAATGCTAGCAAGAGAGGAGCGCCACCGTAGAAGGATGGAGGAAGAAAGACTGCGCCCACCATCCCCACCCCCAGTGGTCCACTATTCAGATCACGAATGCAGCATTGTTGCTGAAAAACTCAAAGGTATAGAATACATTTAAGCTTTGTGATTAAAATAACTTTTTAAAAGAAATTTGATAAATGTATTTGTGTTGTTGGCAGACATCCTTTGACTTTCCCATTAACAGAGTCTGGGGATTTCTTTTGTTGGAGCCTTGCAGTTAGAAAGGTAGACCTAGTAACTGAAGAAACCAAAAGCATTCCACCTGTGTCTCTGCACCTTCACTGTCCCAAGGAATGGTATTTTTCCTTCCAAACAGCAGGTGACTAGTAGGAAACAGGTTTTCTATGTCAGAGGCTTTTAGTTGTAATCCATGTCTTGGGGCCTGTAGGCACACCCTTACACAGTAGATATAAGTTAGTTTTAAATTCTAAATCAAAGTAAATAAGAATAACAGAACTTGATATGACCCCAGAAAACTCGGGAAAAAAAATCCTCATTTTACAGATGAGAAAACAGTGGTCCAGAGAGCATTCAGAGTGGACAGTTTTCTTAGATTACCTTAAGATTTGGCCACCAGCAACTGAAACATTCTTAATCACTTTAAATGGCCCACTTGTTTCACACGATGACTGTGGAGAGTTACGGACATGAGTAAATCAGACTGGTCTCCCTTTAGTTTTGATTCCTTTTCCCCTTGCTTGACTCTTAGAGCCATTTTGCTGCTCTCACATTAGTTGTCCTGTCTAATTGCCTGTATTAGTAGCTCAAATCCACTCTTTTTCATTCTCTGAATGTATTTGATTTTATTGAGTGAGTGTTAATGTCCCACTAATCACATCGATGACACCAAACCACCGCCAGAGCATGCCTTTTCCTACCTTCTTGTGCTCCAGGCTCAGCAAGAGTCTGCTAATTCCACTTCCAAATAGGTCTCACTCACCAACCTTGTCTCCACCATATAGTCTCAGGGATGCACACAATTAAGAAATCTTTTGTTTGGATTGATTTGTCTTCATGTCAGAGAAGAGCAGAAAACAGAATCCAAAGAAGAGACACAGAAATCATGATGCTTTTCAAAAGTTGGAAAGGCTGAAAGCATTGGTAAGATACCAGTTCCAAGACTCGCCTGTTCACACACTACCAAACAGGTCAGTTTGAATCTTTTTAAAGAGTGAATTTGCTGGTTATGTGGACCCCAGAGGAAGCATCAACATATTGACTACATGCAAGTCATCAGATAAAAAGCCGCTCTATTGAGGAGGCCAAACTCATTACAGACACACCTCAGAAATATTGCAGAGGGCCTCCCTGGTTGTGCAAGTGGTTGAGCGCAGCACTGTGAAGCTGTCCACAGCCTCTGTAGCGCGAGTTCGATCCCCGGCCAGGGAGCTACCCACATGGCACAGCAGACCTCTCCTGTCCCGCCCGCTGCTCTGCTCAGCAGTGTACTTCAGTCTATCTGCCTGTTCTGTTCCCCACTCTGTCTCTGGTGGATCCTTTCACCTCCCACACCTCTGGCCTGTACCACAGTTCTTGTATGCATAAATAAATAAATCTTTTTTAAAGAAAAAGAAATATTACGGAATCTGTTCCAGACCACCACTGTAAAGTGAATGTTGCAATAAAGTGGTTCACAAGAAATTTTTGGTTTCCCAGTGCATATAAAAGTTACATTTATACTCTACTGAAGTAGTGTATAAAATGCACTACAGCCTTATGTCTAAAAAAAAAGTACACTCCTTCATTTAGAAATACTGTGTTGCTAAAAAAATGGAAAAGTGATGCTGCTGGACTTGCCCATGCAGGGTTGCCACAAACCTTCCATTTGTAAGAAGTGTAATTGCTAAGCAGCACAGTAAGGCAACACACAATACAAAGAGGTGTGTCTGTATGTGTGTGCACTGCCAGAAGCCAAGAGGCAAGAAGTTCAAATTGCAGACATAGGGTTTCTGACCTGAGAGGATGAGGAATCCTAGAGCCTTTAATGGGATGTGAATGAACTTTCCCTCTGAGGAGTCTTTAACAGCAAGAGAGAGATTTAGATGGCTATCTCAGAAGGCTGAGCTAGAAACTTTGGAGTAGCTGTTGCTACTATTTAAACATCAGAGAATAACTCCTAACTAGCTGCAGAAATCTACTTAGAGGGTTCCTCAGGCAAGAGAAAGAGCACGTGGAGAAATGTCAAAATAGAATGAATTACATCAAAACAGATTGTGACTGGAGCTGAGTAGACGGCCTGGAGCTGTGGATTGAATGCAAAAGTGATGTTATAAAAGGTCAAAGTTGTAGGTGTTTAATACCTGAAGAACTGCCCATTTAACTCGTTCTTAAGGCTCCCTCCAGCAGTTTCCTGGATCCAGGATAAACTTACCGTCAAATTCAAGTTAGACTCGAGACATGTTTACTTTTCCTTATTAAAAATCTGGGGTTATAGAATTCTGAAGTTCTCTCGCTGCTCACTCAGACATTACACACATACACACACATACACACACACACACACACACACACACATACACCATCGGAGGGGTTAAGACATTTGCAAAATGTGGAAACTGCATCCGTAAAGAAACGATTTTTTAAGGAAAGAAGAAACCATTTCCTTTCTGAAAATTCTTCATAGCTAACAAACAGCCAGTCTGAGGACTTCTGAGTCTCCCACTCCCTCGGTGGGTCCGCCGGCTGCCCGTGCGCGCCGCGTGCTCGCTCAGCCCCTCGCCCTCAGCAGTTAACAGCCACGGCGCAGAAGCCACGGTGGCCTCCTGAGCGCATGTTGGAAAAGTAGATTGAGATTTGGTTACTTTTGAGGATTCTAAACATGCATTTTCCTTTTCAGACGATTCCAAATTTTCAGAAGCCGTGCAGACCCTGCTCACCTGGATAGAGCGAGGAGAGGTGAACCGCCGCAGCGCCAACAACTTCTACTCCATGATCCAGTCCGCCAACAGCCACATCCGCCGCCTGGTGAACGAGAAGGCGGCCCACGAGAAAGACATGGAAGAAGCGAAAGAGAAGTTCAAGCAAGCGCTTTCAGGAATTCTCATTCAATGTGAGAATAAACATATTGATTCCATAAAACATAGTTCTGCAGGCAGCAGAGTTCTACTGAAAGGGGAAGGCAGTCCATCACAGAGTCACCACTTGTTCCACACACAAGCCCCAGCCTACAGTGCCCCCTGTGGCAAAGGCAGGGGTCCCCTGTGTCACCAAATGCCCAAGCTCCAGTTTCACAGGATACGTGGAGTCACCGCCTATTTTCATGTTCTCTGGTGTATCGGCTGCAGCACCTTAGAAATGTTGACACTGAGGCCCCTGTCCTGTACTTTCACTGCTGCTTGTTCTCAACTTGAGTTCCAAGCACCCTCAGGTCTCCCTGGAGAGTTGAGGATCTCATTGCTGAAGTTATAACGCGACATGAGCACTTGTGAACATCTTAGCTCTGATTTTCATCGTGATTATCATGTAATAGGGTTTTTAGGTACTCCATTTTAGTGGTAAATGTAACTGTACCTCCCAAGGTGATTGAATAAAAAGCAGATATGGCACGTCTGCCTTTGGTTTTAGTTTCCTTTGATATTTCCTTAGCTGGATGCCATAGACACTAGGCTGGAATGGGAAGCCACGGAAATGGCTGTTTTCCAAAAGAAATGCTTATCCAAGATCTCAATGAGATAGATGAGAAAAATTCTCACGGTCTGTTTTTCTTTCACCGTACTATTAAATTATGCATGTCTATCCTTTGAGTAAGGAACTGTGTCTACCTTAAGAATACAGGTGCAGTTGTATGATTTTGCTTTTAAACTGTTATGGCCCACTGTCCTCATATTTGACTTCCCGGCCTTGATTTGTACATAATTTGAATTAAGGAGGCGTTGTTTGATTTTCCTTTTTTATTTTGAAAGTATATGTGGGCATAGAATCCGGGAGGAGAAAATACATGTGTTTAGGACTTCAGAGTAAATTGAAAAAGAAAGCAGCAAACATCATGAGACTATAAATGTTTAAATCGTTGTTAAAGAAGCTTCCCTTCTCTTGAGCTGGCTAGGTAAAGACCCCAAATAGTTGTACACATTTCCTTATTTGACATTTTAAGAAACCCTGGAAAATGCTCTGTTTGACAATACTTGCACAGTATACTTCCATAACAAATATTTCTCCAGTCGACAAACCTACTTAGGTTGACTTAAAATACATTCCATCTGGGGTCTCCCTGGTGGCGCAAAGGGTTAAGACACAGCCTATGAAGCTGTCCGCAGCCACGGCAGCACGAGTTCGATCCCCAGCCAGGGGGCAGCCCACATGGCACAGCAGACCTCTCCCGGCTCGCCCGCTGCTCCCCTCAGCAGTGTATTTCAGTCAGTCTGCCTGTTCTGTTCCCCACTCTGTCTCTGGTGAATCCTCTCACCCCCATGCCTCTGGCCTGTACCCTAGTTCTTGTGTGCATAAATAAATAAATCTTTAAAAAAAATACATTCCATCCATCTTAGGCTTTGATATGATGCTAGTTAAACATAACTTGGAATAATAGAAGATTGGATTCTGTTCAAGTATCCAGGCTCACTTCGGAGGACTAGTTTAGGAAAGCAGCCAGTGGCCAAAAGGAGCTGTTACCAAGCAGGGTACATAGTATAAGTCACATTCACCGCCATGCCTGCCTTTCCTGCCTCAATATATACCGACTCCCTGTATTAACACTTCAGTCACTACATCACTCCAGACCTCCCAGTGTTCCTTTTTTTCGGCACACTGATGTCTCTGCCTTTGATGCTCCTTTAAAATCATGGTACCCCAAAGTGCATGGCCTTTCCAGAGCACAACTACAGCCTCATGGTATAACAAGAAGGCACAACAAGCCTGATTCTTCTCCTTTTTTTTTCTTCTGTCTTCTGCCATCCCTGGATGACACCCTGGCCTGATTCGACTGCTGATCTGATGCTGCAGTTGAGCAGATAGTAGCTGTGTACCATTCCGCCTCCAAGCAAAAGGCCTGGGACCACTTCACAAAAGCCCAGCGTAAAAACATCAGCGTTTGGTGCAAACAAGCTGAGGTTGGTAACTTCTCATTCTAGTAGCCTTGGGGGAAGGGGGGCAGTTTCTTTCTTTAACAAGTTATTGATCTGGAGGTTAGCCAGAATTAAATAGTGCCAAGCTCTCATGGGCACAACGAGGCCCTAATGAAACACTAAGATGTGTTCTATAGCCTGTCACTGTATCCAGACCACCTGCTGCCAGGAGGGTAATAAATGTGCACGTGTGGTCTGGAATGCATTCTGCTGGCTAGAAACCTTAGTAGTGAAAATGTAGCTGCGATAATTGTAAGTTTACTTCTGTAAGCGAGCTAGTCTTGAGTACAACAGTAATTACTGACCTGTGTATCTACTGTTAGTAATATTAGGGCTGTCTTAAGTTTATTAGAGCCTTGACAGTTGATGCTGGAAACTGCCTGGTGTTACACTGGAGCATTAGAATGTCTAAGCTTCTTTTATCAAAGCCATTCAGCCATCTTCATAGGTGGCAGCTTTAAAGGTATCAGAGGACTCTGATTTCAAATCATGGTTGACACACACCTCTCTGCTTGTGCTCCAGTGACATTTTTAGCACAATTCTAGAATATGTCTGATGTGATTCGATTGCTATTCTGAATCTGAGATTACAAACCAAGATGAAAGATTTGTTTTCACTGATTTCCTTTGCAAGGGTGCTGTGTATACCCCCAGTCCTCCCATTCCTGTGGGCGGCTCCCTTACCCAGCGCTGACATTTTTGATCTATATATGCAGCGACTTTTTCAACTTCATTTCTGAGTTTTCTTTGCCCACGCGGCGGTGGTCCCATCACAGCTGTCAGTGCAGGTCGTTGTCGTCCTTAATATTTAAATCGCGTCTGGAAGGCATTTACCTTTATAAAGCACCTTCGCATTGTTATGCCACCATTGCAAGCCCCCTACTGGATGTGGAAAGAACACTGAACTCAGAGCCAGACACAAATCTAAAGCTCAGTTCTGACACCTGATAGCTGTGCGACATTGAGCTAGTTCTTCAGCATTTCTCAGTCTGTTTCTTCACAGCTAAGTTGTAGATTTATACAATTGAATGGGATAAGAGATGCGTCGACTGTGAAAAGTAAGTGGTAAATAGTATTCTTTCAATTTATTGTTAACATAGACTAGGAACAGGAATGGAGGAACAGAGAGTAGGAAGAGTATTCATATTTTACATGTGAGGAAAGTGAGACGCAGAAATGTTAAGTGATGGACACAAATTACATAGTCAGCAAGTGGTCATTTCACAACTAGAAACTTTTATCTCTGGTGCAAACTGCATTGTGGTCTTGAGCAAATCATTTAACCATTGTGGGTCTCGGTTTCCTAACCTGTAAAATGAAGATGATGATCTATCTATTTGTCTGTCCTTCATGAGAATACATGACAGAGTTTGTGGTGCAACAGTTTGAAAGCCATGAAGAACATGAACAAGCCAAATCCTGTTCATAAATGGATAGTCTCAGCCCTCAGTTCGGATACAGCAAAGGCATCTGGGAGACACTGGGGAGAAATCCCTGAAAGCATAAGCACAGTGAATGGGTGGAGTCATAAAAAGTCAGTAACATTTTTAATTTTTTTTTTAAGAATTAGGAACAAAGGGAAAGCTATTGACTTACAGAAGCACAAAATGATTTCAGAATCCTAGGGTCACTGCATGTTTTTGAACCTCAAAACAAGCAGAGTTCAACATTTCATTCCAAAAGGTTACTGGACACATCCTCTGTTTCAGGTATTATAGCAGGCAATACAGAATGAAATCGTTTTTTGCTCTCAGGGAGTTAGAAGGGTAACAAAAGTGGTCAAGAAGGGAGTAAAGTTGAGTACCCTAAATTTAAAATATCCGAAGTCTTACTGCAAAAGAATTAAATATTGAGAGAAAATGCTCAATGTTCCTTACCATTGTAGAAAAGTGATAGTAAGTCTTTACTTCCCCTTCAATATGTGTATATGGGCATAGAAGACCATGTCTAAACTGCCTTGCCCTGCACAGAAAATCCAGCCAGGACAATGATGCCTCTTTGTAGGAGGAAAAGAGCGTCTGGTTAGAGCGCTGACTCACCTAGGCCACAACCCGTTGGTAAAGGCCTTTGCAACAAGACACTTTCCACTAACATTATTCTTCGAGTCTCTCAGTCATTCTGTGGAGTCTGCCTACCTGGTGGGTATATACAGTCATGGATTTAAGGATGTTTTGGTGAACAACAGTCCACATATGCAACGGAGGTGGCAACAGGCCACACCATAGAGCCGAGGTGGGTGGAAGGCCCTACCATCTAAGTCTGTGTGGTTCTCCTCTATGACATTTACACAACGATGAAAATCACAAAACCAGGCATTTCTCAGACTGTGTCCCCATTATGAAATGAAGGAGTTTAAATGTATATGCTCAGTAAAGGGACCTCTGTCAGAAAACTGGACATTCTCTGGGCCTGTGGAGAAGTGTGAGAATAAAGTACATGGCCACTGTGAGTGGCCAAAGGCCAGATGTTTCATGCTGTGCTTTTCAACTTTTTAGAAACCAAAACAAATTCTTCCTGCCTGTGTGGACTAAATTAAGGTCCACCTTGTATAACTCGGTCTTGAGAAGTAAAACTACTAAGAGTGGAATATAGCTCATGACTCCCTCTGACACTGTATTCCCTACTTTATAATGATACCTTTTAAAATCATGATTTTTTAAAATCTCTGCTTACTTTCACTTTATAACAGACAACTCAGAGGACTAAAGGAGGTGTCCTATGGAAAGTAACAAAACTGTCCGCTCCAATTGAGACAGTCTCTCAGCACCCCCACTGAGAATCAGAGCATCTCAGTGACTTAACCAGACTGGCTTTTCTTGACCTTGATAGTGAAGCTACAACTCATATGTCAAGGTAGACTTTTCTGAAATTTAACCTTTCTCATCAGTAATCTCTGGGAACAAGGTAGCTGGTCACCTCCTCCTGTCATAAAGTATCTGTTCTTTGTCTCATTGTCCTCCTGCCAGCAGCTAACACTGTTTTCCTCTGGTGGAGAGAGGAGGTGATGGAATAAGAAGGAAAAGTCCCTGCCTTGGGAGAGTTTAGGCACTCACTTTGGTAGCACAAGCCAGCAGACTAGCTTGCTAATGCATCTTGTTCACTGGTTCACTTTCATGGTTATCTCTGTGTGTGTGAGGCTCCTGCTAATTCAATTGGAAAGGGCAATAAGAGAAGGTTAAAGTGCCTCCCCTATCTAAAGGAGGTGCTCACTTTACTAGCAAATCTGTTTGTTGTGGGAACTCTGCACAGAATTGTTTAAAACCTATGAATTTCTCTCACCGAGAAGCTGGCCTAGGTTGGAAGCTAGCCCTTGGATATCCATAGGTACTAGAAGATAACCCCTTGAGTCCTCCCTGTTGGGAGATTTTGTACCACTGGGCCAGGGGAGACGGTCCTTGGCAATGACTGGCATTCAATCCATAAAAGGAAATACTGTGATTGCTAAAATAACTTTCTTTCCAGATTTCCAGGCCTACTTTTCCAAACTCTGAAGAACTGTTTGCAGATAGACATCACATCATCTGCATACCTGTGTTTTAGGACCCATTTGCATAAACACTATTTATTGATTTTCACCCTCCAAAACACACACTAACATGGTTTGGATCAATTGTATTGGCCAATACATGTCATACAACAGACATTGATTAAGAGCTTGTGTTTGTGTTTTGCTTCATGGTATTGAACGATCTCAGAATCCGATTTCTACGTAAATTAGCTCTCTCCTTATCCTCTGCTCTTTTCATTCCTTCATCTGACCCCTTCCCCACCAAGTATCCTGTTAATATTATAAGTCTGGGTAAGTGCAATTTTGTTACACATTTAATAAGAAACTTTGCTTTTCTGATAACCATGCTCCAATCAGACATCAATAAGGTATGTTTCAGTCCACATAAATTTTTGTGAAACTGTGTATAGGTAGGTAATTAACATGCAGTGATTGATGATGTGCTTATTTGATGATAAATCAGAAATGTTAGCTGATACAAGGGTGATTCTTTTTATACATTCTCCTCTGTCTTGGGAGCAGTGTGTGCATTTCCAAGCTTTAGAAAAGTTACTGATAGAGCAGTCTCAAAGTCATTATAATGCGTTTTCAGAAATCCCCAGGAGTTCACTGTTTAGGTGAAAATATCACAGATCCACTGTGATCAGAAGAGTGATATAGAGAACTTTAGGAGGACTGTCTTACCTTTTTTATGATGTGACCTATCACTTACATGGCCCAGTCAATCAGTAGATTTACAAATGTACTATTCTGTCAAATGTTTTGATGTCATTTCCACTCCTAGTTTCAGCACCAGTTATAAATGTCAGCAACTGTTGGAGGCAGCTGTTTCCCTTGTGGCCTGCACTTCAGTGGCTGAGTACTCTTCCTATGTCCAAGTTAGGTAAAATGACTTCAGTAGGTAAATGCCACCTTTCAACCATTCATTTTGAAGGTATTTCCCAAATACCTTGATTTTTTGATCCAACTAGAGAACAAGGTAACAATTACTTAGATAACAAGTGTTTTAATGGTAAGGTTTTCAAACAGTTAGAATCTCTCTTTCTGTAGTTAGGGGTTTGGACATAACTAAATGCTCTGCATAAGTTTACTTTAGTATGCTACTTTAGAACCTCCATGTCCTCCTCTTTTAACCCAGTCATGTGACTCAGTATGGCTAGTTCTAGAAGAGTAATGATAAGGACCTTAGTTTCTTCATAGCTAAAAAGGTTGTCTAATAGTTAGGGACTTTAAAGCTCTGCCCCTTTACCTGCCTCACTGGAAACTTAGAGCAAAGCTGCTTCTTAGTTTATCTTACCCTCATTTCATTATCAGCTAAAAGAACTGCTAGCTCTTGTTCCTGAAGCATTTTGAGGTATTGATATTAAATTTGCCCAGAGGTCAGTTATATTTTTAGGGATTTTTTTTTGAAGATGTGAAAGACCTCTAGGTAAGCTGTACCAATTAGACATTGAACTTCTTATACTTCTAAAGAGAAATTAAGCTTTCTTGCCCAGCTGGAAGCAGAAAGCTGCTTTGTGGATGCTGGGCAGCTACAGGGCATATCTTAACATTCAGTTAGATCTTCCTGCCCTGGGACATTTCCCCAGAAAGAACGCAATTTTCTCTTCTGAGAAACACAATAACTTTCCCAGAGTTCAACGATGCATTTGTGAAATCTGAGTTGGCCTCTCTTATACCCTCTGACAGTCTACATTTTTGTTAGGCAATGCAAAGACCCCAGCTTTTCCTGATACAGTAAGTTGTACAATATTGGGATTTGCCAGTGTCAAACCTCATCATAACCACCTTTCCAATAACAGCTCTTTGACGGTGACTGAAACACAGATGCCTGGGATAGAATGAATTCTTAAAAATGACCAATTCCTATGTTGTTCGGTGTGCCATGTGTTTGAATAAGACATAGAAAATCTTTCTCTTGACACAGCCCCTTCAAGTTCATTTTCCTCGAGCAAGTCATTATATTCCGCTATTTTAAGGAGTGCCCCTGCAGCACATGAGGAAGCTATATCAGTATTTCTATCTTCTATTACTTCTATTTTTATATTACCTCTTAAATTGCCATGATAACACTGAATAGCTCATTTTTTAAAACTACTTTTATTTATCTTTAGTGAAAACTTAACTTGATATAGACATTATTTTTTCTGGTAAAGGGAATAAAAAAGGATATTCGTTGAGATAGTGATTAGCTATAGCATAAATTATTAAGAACGCCATTTGGAATATTTATAATCCCCCTAAATAGAGGCAGTTTTTGCCAGACAGCTTTGGCTATTTCCTGCGTTATGGCACAATTGGGGCTACCCGAGGCAAGGAATTCTCAGTGCTGCGGAGCCTCTGACAGACAGGTAACAACTGGCTTCTAAATGATTGCAAGCTGCTCCGAGTGCACCGTTCTCCTGCTTCCTTTTTTTTTTTTTTTTAATAAAGTGACTTTTTCCACTGTGATCTTGGTCATTCCCAGGGTTCTTCCTGAAGATGTGCGTTTACCTGGCAGCGCTCCCCTTCACCCTGAAGAGCTTCCTTCAGCGTTTCTTAGCTTGCAAGTCTTTGGATGACAAATTCTTACACTTATATTTGTCTGAAAATATATAAATCTAATCTTCATTCTTGAAATAATTTTTTCTCTGAATATAGAATTCAATATAAATTCAAAATAGGTATTTTTATTTCTTCTTGTACTTTCCAGATATTCCCAGAATTCTGGCCTTTATTGCTTCAAAAAGAAATTTAAGTATTCAAATCACTGTTGCCCTGAATAGACTTTTTTTCTGGCTGCTTTTAAAAATTTCTCCATTTTTCTCAATTTTATTGAGGTGTAATTGGCACACACGCTATATATGTAACATATGCAAGCATCATTACTCACATATATTGTGAAATGATCACCTCAATAGTTTTTTTTAAGATTTATTTATTTATGCATACAAGAGCTGGGGTACAGGCCAGAGATGCGGGGGGTAAGAGGATCAACCAGAGACAGAGCTCGGAACAGAACAGGCAGACTGACTGAAACACACTGCTGAGGGGAGCAGCGGGCGAGACAGGAGAGGTCTGCCGCTCCATATGGGTTTCTCCCTGTCAGGCCGGGGATCGAACTTGTGCTGCAGAGGCTGCGGATTGCTTCATAGTGCGGTGCTTAACCCCTTGCACCACCAGGGAGGCCCACCTCAATAGTTTTTTTAAGAATCCTATGCTTTATTGTGAGTTGTTGGGTTGAAGTTCGAATTTCTGTCTCTTCTATGGCAGCTCAACTCTCAGTTCAGTTCTTTTAGTCTTAGTTTTGTTGTTTGGAATCTACCCTATGCTTTCAAGTTCAATTAAGTTCTATTGAGTAAGATTGTAAGGGGAGACAGAAGAAGATGGAAAGAAGGAAAATCGAAGGGTTTGACATGGAAAGGTGAAAATGATATATATCTCTTAAGGAAAATTCCAGAAATCCACATGAGTGAGATGTGACAGCTCTTTCCTCACCAACACTGTTTTCTAATATGGGAGGAATACAAGAATCATCAACTATCAGAACTCTGGTTATGGAAAGAAAAGCCTATGCAAGACAGTATACAAAGTCTAGTTTTTCTATTGAGATTACTTCAGCCTCAACACACCCCTATGCCTTTGACGTTAGAGTACTCTGAAATTTTATTATTAAAAAAAAAAAAACCCTGCCTTATCCTATCCTTACTGTGTTCATTTCCTCAACATTTTCAAGGCTTTCCTATCTAAAAAGCATACCTTTGAATCTTAGGAAATTCGCAACATTCATAATGATGAATTAATGGGAATCAGGCGAGAAGAAGAAATGGAAATGTCTGATGATGAAATAGAAGAAACAGCAGAAACAAAAGAAACGGAAGAATCAGGTAAAGATAATTCTGCTTTGTTTTACTTAATATCTACTTGAAGGGGAGATATTTTAAAACCGTTAACGCCCGGAAAGGTGTGGGCACAAACACATCAGACTGAAATCAGCTAGAAACAATTGGTCGAGGGCATTTAAGTACATACTCACAAAATATCAACATTGGCTACAGGGTATTTTGTAGTCATCATTTACCCCTGCCTTCCATCATAATGCCTAATTAATTGTAAACTATCTTTTCTATAGGTGCTAAACATTTAGGCAGATTAGTCTATATTTTGTTTGGGTTCATTAATAACAGTCTACAGTAGGACTCGTAAGAGTTTATACATAAGTAGGTAACTAGCCAAAGTTTTAGGAAAATTAGTTCAATCCCTATATCACATATACCTTACACCAAAATTAACAGCAGATGGTTTTAAAATGTAAAAAACAAATACATATAGCAAAAGATATTCTGGAAAATATAGGACTTGATTACATAATTTGGGGTGACGGTCTCCCAAGAGACCTTTTGACTTTAAGAAATCATTAGACTGGTCCAACCACTATGGAGAGCTGTGTGGAGATTTCTGGACCTATTAAACATAGAGCTTCCATATGATCCAGCAATTCCACTCCTAGGTATTTACCCAAAGGACACAGAAACATCAATTCCAAAGAGCACCTGCACCCCTATGTTTATAGCAGCACTGTTTACAATAGCTAAGCTTTGGAAACAACCCAAATGCCCAAAAATAGATGACTGGATCAAGAAGATGTGGTACATATACACATATACACCATGGAATATTACTCAGCATTCAAAAAAGATAAGCACATGCAATTTGCAGCAACATGGATGGCACTGGAAGGGATCACGCTCAGCGAAATAAGCCAAAAAGAAAAAGAAAAATACCGGATGGTCTCACTCATAGCAGGAATCTAGAAAACTTAAATAAGGGACCAGGAAAATGAATAACTATAAGAAAGTGAAAATCAGAATCAACAAAAAAACTATGAAACAGAGACACTTTTGGGGGGGTGGGGGGGGGAGGGGAGGGATTGGGATCAGAAAGGGGGGGTTGCAATTGTATGGGGAATATAAAAATAAAATTTATTATTTAAAAAAAAAGAAATCATAAGTTTATCAGCATAAAAATTAAATTAATTAAATTTCTGTTAAAACATCACCAAGTTAAAAGAGAATTTACAAACTGGGAATATCTATAATATATGACAGTCTACCTTTCTGCAGCCCTCCACAACCTACTGTCTATATTGAATAAACCCTTTGTGATTAGTGCATAGTTAGCATTTTCAGTCTTAGGGGTTTATGGTGATCCAAACAGGAGTCTATAAACAGTTGTCTGGGGAAAAACTTTTACTCTTACCCAGTATAGTCAGGACCTCATTGTGAAACAGAAGCCATGGTGTGTGTCCCCTGTGGAACTTATAAGTCAAATCTGTTAAGCAATATAGAAATATACCACCCTTCAATTTCATAATGAACCACCTTGAAGATAGGGTTACTATGGGGAAGATAAAAAATATCAGCCAAAAGACCAGTGTTTTCAGGTAAACCATTCTTGACAATCATAAAAGTTAGTAAGGTACAAAGGACAAAGCACAGGACCCACAATTAGAACACCTGACTTCTAGTCCCAGGTCTGTCCTTCTTGACATAGGAAGCACTTCTTCCTCACTGATCCTCAACTTCCACACTTATGAGAATTGCATTATAAAAGACATAATAGGGATTTTTTGATGGTTAAATGAGTCCACTCATTCATTTAATAACTATTTCATGACAAGCACTATGCTAGATATTGGAGATATGGTAATATACTGTCTTCAGTGCATACACTTGTACATGTGTGTGTATGCATGTGTGCATGAGTGAGTGAGAGAGAATTATGTGTGTGAGAAGGAGATACAGAGACAGAAACAGATTGAAACTAATACAAATCAGAATTTCTTGGTTTCACTGCTTGCATATTGAAGTCAGCAGCTCTATAGCTACTTCACTGGCCCTAGAACATTCACTCCATTGAAACTCTTAAGGGAAGAAAACCACCAAGTCAGACTTTTAAAAAGCATTTGTTAGGTGTTGTATCTGAATTTCTTCTATTTCTAACATATGTTAGATACCTAAACATACAACCTACCATCTTTATTGAATAAACCCTTTGTAATTAGTGGATAGTTAGCATTTTCAGAATAGTGGTCTAATTACTGTAAATAATATCAAGCCATAGCCAAAATAAACAAAAGAATTTAAGAATAATTGAGCTGCTCAAATTACTTAATTTCTTAGTCAGAATACTTTATAGCTGATTAACCTTTGACTTGTAGGATTGCCTCCACCTCAATATCTACAGTATTGTATACAGTGCTAATCCAGTGTTACACCGACATGAATGCAACCATAAGTTGCATCCACTTGATAAATTGCTGAGTTTGAGGAGTTATTGGGGGAGGAGAGGGGTGTATGAGAAATTCAGATTGAATGCACTTACTAGGGTTATATAATTCCATTTTGCTTCTGTATCTCTTTTGAGTTAAAAGCTGTATTGGCTACTGCACAGAATCTTATTCGTTTAGAGACTAGAAACTCCCTGACAGATCATCTTATAGCTATTTTCTTTCCTGTTCCACATGCCAGGATGCTGCTTTGTCAAATAAAGCTATCTACAATAGACTTAATGGAGCTTACCAAATAGCTTTTCTCCCAGAAGGTTTCAATTCATTTTAATTCAAGGACTTTTGTGCATTTTTCTTCCCCTCGATCGTATCTAATTTTGTTATCTTGCTTCTGTAGTACTCAACTGCAGAAATCCTGCACAGTGTAAGCCAGTGAGCGGCTACTCAGTTTTTATCTAAATCTGATACATGTTTTAGTTATCATTTGGTTCCAATTAAAAGCTTATGCAACTGGATCTCAGGGTTGTTGGGTTTTTTTTTTCTCTCTCTCTCTCTTCAGGCTGCCCAACTTGAATTCCAAGAGCCAATAGCACTTTTCAGGTTAAACTTTAGTTCCCAGAGAAAGTAAGAGTCAAAACTAGCCTAGCAGTTTCAGTTACCTTTCCTTGGAGTGCCACAAAATTTCCATTCTTCATGAGACTCTACACTAGCCAGCCCATATTTGTGATTTTGTGCTGGAAATACTATTGCCATAGAAAAAATGACTGCTATGTTCAAAGCCGTGTATAAGAGGAAGAATAACATCAAAGCAATTCATAACCGTGTGAAACTATTTCATTCTATTGTTAACTATGATGGAAAATCCTTGTACCCATGTATTTATATGAGAACAGCTGTTCCTTTTCAACATCTATCTTCTGCCTTCTTCACTTAGATTAGTGCTTCTCAGACTTGGCATACGTAAGAATCATTGGGTTACCTTTAAAAATCTAGATTTGGGGACTGCAGAATCTGACTCAGTAGGCCTGTAATATGTATTTTATCAGGGCTGCTAAATGATGCTGCCAATCCAAGGAACACATTTGGAAAACATTGACTAATTCTTCTTCATTGTTGTAGCCAAAGTTTTCCCATCCCAGAACATCCAATCTCCTTCCTTCTCTTTTGTGTCCTATAAGTTGATGATCATACCGATATAATATTTGTAAGTCCATAAAAAATATAAGCAAATGCAACTTGGTGCTCACTTGGAAGGTACTAATTAAAAAATGCATCAGGGACAAGCGATATTAGTGTGGGCCAGAGTGGTTGTAGTCAGTGAAAATTGATGAAACACTTTGAAAGATGAACAGGTTTGAATGAAAAGAGGGGAAGAAAGAAAGCATCTTGGGGTGGAGGAGGAAGAAGAGAAGGAGTAGGGCTTTTCAGAAGGGGGAATAAGGATAGTATGGATAGGGAATAAAAGACTGATTAGGCAGATGGGTCCAGATTATGGGGAACCATAATTATGGTGCTCATCTCATTATGAGAGTGTGCACCTCATTATGGTGCTCATCTCCCTCTCTTTCTTCCAACTCTTTTTTTGTTTGTTTGCTTTTTGTTTTTGGGGGTTTTTTTTTTTGGCTTTTTCCCTGTCACTCACTCCAGCTCTACCTTTTTATGAACCTGCAGAGGAATGTTGTAAACTTTTCCTTCTATAATTTGGTAACATTTTTAGCACCTCTTGTCATACACGTTTGTCAGGGTAGCTGACTTCTTGAATTTACTTCCACTCACCTTTTGTCTTCTTTGTACCATTGTACCTACACATTAATTTTTTTAATAGCACAAAATGCTTTTAGATCTTTTGTTGTAGAAAAACATGTCTGGGATTTTGCTCAAGTGGCTTCTCTAAAAGGAGTTCACAGCTGTCTTCATGCTTTTATATTGGCAGGATGAACTGACAGCCTTTAGATCTGAGGAGCAATCCCCATAAAGAGAAACATTTTTCCCACACAGGAAATAGTCAAAAAGGAGAAGCCAAGAACAAATGATGGTAGGATATGAGTAAATTCACTGTCCTATGCTCTTTAGTATCAGGACTAATGGATTCACCTACTCAAACATATTATTAAAAGGTAATATTGAACTTTTCAATGTTCTGGCAATGTACAAGGAACTCCAACTTCAGAAACAGGCCCAATTAATACTAAGTCTGTGAAGGTAAAGACTTAGTGTCCTCATTAAAATGACAAAAAACCCTCATTTCAGAGAGCAGGAAATACATTTTGTGAGTAAGGCCCCTCAGTAGCATTATGGGAGATCACATTTTCTTTTGCCTAGTGACAGGTCCAAGCTGAGGATATTATTATCTGCTCCCACTTGGCTGCAGATACCATCTCTGCTCATCAGGATATCCTGCCCCCAGGAGGGAAGCCATCTCTCCTCTTTATTTCCTCAGAGGGCAAATATTTTCATATTTCACCTACAGAATATGCCTCTAACCGTTCTCCCAGATCTCTGCCCTTTTCTTGACCATGTTTCTCCACATGATTCATAAGACATGAGCATGCTTTACTGACCTACAGTACAAGAAGAAACAAAAAGAGAAAAATGAAATATCACCATTTTGTATTGAGCGGTGTGGCTCGCCAGCGGACAAACATGCAAACCAAAGCAGAAATAAATAACCGTCCATCTGTAGCAGTCACTTGATTTACAGACTAACCTCTGTGCTGTTCCTCCAAATGCCAGCTCCAGATGCTATCCTTGGTGCTGACCCAGCAAGCAAATCAAATATTTCTTCCCTTGTTTGGCAGTTAGTGGCCCTTTTTCTATAGTTTCTTGTGTACAGTTGTCTTCACTTTGAGCATTGTCTTTTGGTGTCGTTATTGTTAAGAACATTGCCTGTCTGATGACAACTATCTCAACTGCTGGGAGAAATGGCAAGGATACCTATTATTTAGAGTGTTTGCAATCCAAGTCTCTGTGTAACAGCTTTCTCTTCAGAGACACAAAATATGTGTGATTACAGCAAGAATTTAAATCAGTTATAAAACCAAACTTAAAATGTGTCATGCCAGAGGTCTTTTGACATTTTTTAAATCAAAGTGCAAGGTTTAGAAGACATAGAGATGGTCAATAGGCACATGAAAAAATGTTCAACTTCACTTATCATCAGGGAAAGCAAATCAAAGCCACAATGAGATACCATCTCACACCTGTGAGAATGGCCCATATCAAAAAGACTGGAAACAGCAAGTGCTGGGGAGGGTATAGGGAAAAAAGGGACTCTGTACACTGTTGGTGGGAATATAAATTAGTTCAGCCTCTATGGAACAATATGGAGAGTCCTTACAAAACTGAAAATAGAAATACCATGTGATCCAGCAATATCACCCCAAGGTATTTACCCAAAGAATATGAAAACACTAATTCAAAAAGATATATGTACCCCTATGTTCATAGTAGCACTGTTCACAATAGGTAAGACATGAAAACAATGTAAACGCCCAACAACAGATTACTGGATAAAGAATTTGTGGTCCATGTCCTCACTTGATACTTACTACTCAGCTATTAAAAATGATGAAATCTTGTCTTTTGTGGCAACCTGGATGGAGCTTGAGGTGGGTGTGCTGGGTGAAATAAGTCAGAAAGTGAAAGATAATTACCAGATGGTTTCTCTCATATCTGGAATATAAATAACCAAAGCAAATGAACTAACAAATCACAATGGAAATAACTCTTAGACTCTGTGAAAAATGTGGTGGTTACCAGAGGGGATGGGCGGGGGCTGGCTAAGCAGAAAGGGTTGAGGGATCCATCTGGTAGCAGGAAGGGCACTAGAACTATGGAGGTGGGTGGGGTGTGGCTTATACACATACAGAGGCGTGAAGCTGTACTCCTGGAAATAATATACTTTTGGAAATCAATAAAAATTCTTTTCAGCAGAAAGGAAAGGAAATGCAAGGTTTAAAACTGTAACATATGGACAATTGCATGGCCATCCACAAAAACAAGTGTAAACTCTGAGAATATGTCTCGCCGCTACTAGGTCTTTCTCACCCAAACCCTGCCTATTACATTGCCTGCCTCTGCTCTGGGTAGACAATCTGATCACATCAGACTGTGTCGGTGCCTAATTGTTTTAGGAAGACCTGGAAGGTTTTGAGTAAACCAAGCACCTCCCTAGAGGCACCTTCCTTTTAGGAATTGGGAATGTTTTCACCCTGGAATATGCTTTTCTTTTTTCTATTTCCTCTTTGTAAAGCACAATATCTTTCTATCCATTATATAGAGGGTGAATCTTGTCTTTGAAATTCCACCATTTATAGCTAAAAATGTCAGATTTCATTTCTATTACTTTCTTTGACTTTCTTCTACCCAAAGATAGCAGAGAAAATTCATACCTTTGTTATATTGTCTTTAAACATTTTAAACATTTAATGTAGAGTTTTGTAATTTTGATTCATTTTGATAATGTCTCTTTTCTGGGCTTTATGCTCTGTTAGGAATTTAAAAAAAAAGGAAAATCTAGGTGTTGCCACTAATTTGGAGTGTAAACAGTAGAGATTAGTGGAATCTCATTTTTTACCATAGTCATAGACCTGGAACATGGAATATATTCAATAAATGTCTGTTGAATTAATGAAAATCCTCTGATTAAATATTTTGAAATAGCCCTTATGATTCTTAACCTTGAAAAAGGTACCATAACCATAAATAATTAAATTTAACCTAGGTTTCTCCATGCATCTCAGTTTTAAAAAAAATTTTAAATGAACAAATTTTTAAAGCAGGTTTTGGCTCACAAAAAATAATTAAGCCAGAGGTATAGAGTTCCCAAATAGCCTCTGACCCCCTGCACATAGTCTCCTCCACTACTGACATTCCTTACCATAGGAGTACACTTGTTATAATCAATGAATATATCATTATTACCCAAAGTCCATAGTTTTCATTAAAGCTCACTCTTGGTATTGTACATTCTATGGATTGGGACAAATGTATAAAATGCAAGCATCCACCACTGTGGTATCGTGGAGAATAGTTTCATTCACGAAAAGTCCTCTGTGCTCAATCTATTCATCCTTCCTGCTCCCCTCCCCCACCAACCCCTAACACCACTGGTTTTACTGTCTCTCTACTTTGACATTTAGAGATATCATATAGTCAGAACCATACAGTATGCAGCCTTTTCAGATTGGCTTCTTTCCTTTAGTAATACTCATTTATGTTTCCTTCATGTCTTTTCATGGTCTGATAAATCATTTCTTTTTAGCACTGATAACTATTCCATTGTCTGCATGTTACCACAGCTTACTTATGCATTTACCTACTAAAAAACACCGCAGTTGCTTCCAAGTTTTGGCAATTATGAATAAAACTGCTATAAATATCTATGTGCAGGTTTTTGTGGGGACATAAGTTTTCAATTCACTTAGGTAAATACCAAGGAGCATAATTGCTGGAGTATATGATAAGAGTATCTTTAGTTTTGTAAGAAACTCAAATTATCTTCCAAACTGGCTGTACTATTTTACATTCCCACCAGCCATGAAGGAGAGCTCCTGTTTGCTCCACATCCTCACCAGCACTTGGTGCTGCCATTGTTTTGGATTTGGACCTTTCTAATAGGTGTGTAATGATATCATATTGTTGTTTTAGTTTGCAATTCCCTAATGATACTAATGATATATGATGAATGTCTTTTCATATTCTTCCCATTGGTGCGTGTGTGTGTGTGTGTGTTGTGTGTGTGTGTGTGTGTCTTTGGGGAGGTATCCAGGTTTTTAGACCAATTGGGTTGTTCATTTTCTTTCATTGAATTTTAAGAGCTCTCTCTCTATTTTGGATAATAGTCCTTTAGGAGATATGTCTTTTGCAAATATTTTCTCCCAAACTGTGGCTTGATTTTTTCCCTCATTCCCTTGGCCTCTCATCCACGGTGGAGAAATCTTTAATTTTAATGAAATCCAGATTATCAATTATTTCTTTCATGGATCATGCCTTTGGTAATATATCTAAAAAGTTACCATCATATCCCAGATAAACATTTTCTTTTATGTTAACTTCAAGGTGTTTTAATAGCTATCACTAATTTCACTTCTACATAAATATATATGTGTATTTATGCACATCCAGTATAAATAATTAAATATATAGTTACTCTTATTTTGAGCCAACTATTTTGTTAGGTCAATTAAGACTAGGAAAAAATAAAAGTTTTCGTTTCACTTTCACGTATTTCTTTTTTGATGCTCTTCCTTTCTTTCTGTGGAGTTAACTTTCTGACCTGTGTCATCTTCCTTCTCTTAAAACCTTTTTAAAATTGAGGTATAATTGACATGTAACATTATATTAGTTTTAGGTGTACAATATTATGACTTAATATTTGTATGTATTGCAAAAGGATCACCACAATAAGTCTGATTATACATACATAATTACAATTTTTTCTTGTGATTCGAATGCTTAAGATCTACACTTAGCAACTTTGAAATATGCAATTCAATATTATTAACTATAGTTGGCATGCTGTACATCACATTTTCATGACTTATAGCTGGATATTTGTTTGGCTCTCTTCCCCATTTTATCTACCTCCTTTACCACCCACTCTGAGCAACCACCAGTCTATTCTCTGTATCTATGAGTCTGAGTTTTTGTTGGTTTTTAGAGTCCACATATAACTGAAGTCATATGGTATTTGCTTTCCACTGCCTGACTTGTTTCACTTAGCCTAATGTCCTCAACATCCATTCACATTATCTCAAATAGCAAGATTTCATCATTTTATGGTTGAATAATATTCATATATATATTCATATATATATATATATATATAATCATGTACAACATATGTAAGTTTTGGTCAACAATGTACCACACATACATAGGTGGTCTCAAAACTTCTAGTGCCTAATGACGTCATAGACTTCATAACACTGGCCACAACCTTGTGTTAACCATGTCTCTTGATAGCCTCATTTTCCTTTGTGCTTGATTCAATCTCATGTTGTTTTGTTCATCATGGACCCTAAGTATACAAAATCTGTGGCTAATTTGTCAATAAGAAGCCACATTGACTGATTGACCTGGAAACAAACTGAAAAGTAATTAAGGACTAAGAAAATGGGAAGTTGGTCATGGTTAAAGCGCACCAGCCAGATATGTCCCATTCCACCATGGCTACGATCTTGAAGAACAAGAACAAAGTGGCAGAAGCTGTTAAAGGCTTTATACACATCAACTTTCATGGTACTCAGAGGAATCACAAAGGAGTCTGGATATATGATTTTATTACTTTATGTTGATTGTTTAGCCTTAGTATCACAGGCAGAAGCTCTGAAGGAAGAAAATGACAGCCTCCGTTGGCAGCTTGATGCCTATCGGAATGAAGTGGAACTACTTAAGCAGGAACAAGGCAAAACCCACAGAGAAGATGACCCAAACAAAGAACAGCAGCTGAAACTCCTGCAGCAAGCTCTGCAAGGAATGCAGCAGGTAAACGCATTTTGGTTTTCTGAGATTTTCAGAGGGATACTATCCGCTTCTGGCCTGTAAAAGTCACCTGCAAGCAAATAGAATAGCAAGCCTCTTACTCTTCTTGATATTCTGTTCTCTGGCATAGCTGAGGAAGAAATTATGTGTTGTGGTTAATGAAATGTTCTAGTTAATATAGGGATAGCAGTGGGGCACCAATTTTCAAAGAATGAGCATTCAGTGAAAAATATTTAATAACAAAACTATACAGGACATAATATAATCCTTTCTTTATGCTTCAGAACGTACAATGGGATCTGGACAGGGCTTCGGGATCTTTATGAAGAACCTCAATTTCTTAGCTATGACAAAGTGAAGGTGAATAAGTATCTAGCTGATGCAATGCTGAAGGACTATCTTTTGGAAGGAATGGTAGAACTCCTACCCTTGACTTTGGTGGAGGCAGGGGTGTTATAGGTTTTTAAATGTTAATGCTCTGGGCATACAATACCAATTTGCTTTTGTTTTGTTTTGTTTTCGGTCACTCATGTGAATGAGCCTATCTGCATATTACCAAGTGTAAAAAGTAAAGTTAGTAAGTGCATCCAAATGTCACTGCATTCAAATACAACATCATGTAATAGATGCTCAGTATCTAGAAGTTTTATATAACCATCACCACAGTGAGCCTACAACTTAAAAGATATCAAGGGCCTCCCTGGTGGCACAGGGGTTAAAGACAACACTATGAAGCTGTCGCCATCCACTGAAGCACGAGTTCCATCCCCGGCCAGGGAGCTACCCACATGGCGCAGCAGACCTCTCCTGACTTCCCCGCTGCTCCCCTCAGCAGTGTATTTCAGTAGATCTTCCTGTTCTGCTCCCCACTCTGTCTCTGGTGAATCCTCTCACCCCCCACACCTCTGGCCTGTACCCCAGCTCTTGTGTGCATAAATAAATAAATCTTTTTTAAAAAAGATATAAATATCTAGTCTCATGAGGGTAGAGGAGGGAACAAAGGGGGGAGGGGCCCAATGGACTATGGTGGAGGATTATGGGTATTTTGGTGGTGGGTATGGTATGATGACATACAAGTGAAGAAGTGTGAACCAGTACCTGTGAATCACATACAGTATTGTGAACCAACATTTCCTCAATAAAAAATGATACAAAAAAATAAAAATATCAAATGAATAAATAAATACATCTATTTTTACATAGTATGGGAGTAGTTTCTGTCCAAGGGAACCACCCGCTTCTGCTCACCAGACTACCAGCTGTTTTCCTTACAATTTAAACTGTGCAAGAATTTTTTTTTTATTGTGTGCCTTGGGATTATCTCAGATTGAGCGAATTGTTGGTTAGAAATCACATATTGTGAACAGAGAGTCTCTTCTGGCTCTAGAAGTCCTGTGTTCCTGTTACTTCTGCTACCCTTGTCTTCCCGTGTGACAAGCAATAGCACGTTAATATGTCACCTTTCCTGTTAGCAAAATGTGTGAAGTAATGCTTACCTTCCCTTTACTGTCACCGTGGAGTTTAATTAGAACATGTAAATTACTTCAGAGATGTTTCCTCCAAAAAAAAAAAAAAAAAAGCATCTTCTCTGTTAGATTTCCAAGAATTTTGACAAGGTACATGGTGCTGTGTCTGTTAGCTGTTTTGTGATGGTCTTTTGCAAGCCTCTGAAAAGCAAAATTTTGGAAGCATTTTATTGTTGTTTTCCCCTCTTAGTTTGAATTTGAAGCCATTCTATATACAAGTGGTTCTATTACTTAAATACAATTCAGACTATATAAGCAATTTTTCATTTTATCATTCCAGGAGACCACAGCGAGACAGTCACACCTATACATTCTGAAAAATTAATATCACTCATCTTGATCACTTTTTATTGGAAAATAGCCCTGTAAACAATAAAGTTTCTTCCATCTTATCCTAAAAAATATGTATAGTCAAATATGTTAGTTAAGATCATGAACTCTGGAATTGACTCAACTTGAGTTTCAACCTCAGCTCTACCTCTTACTATCTTAAAGGCTTTAGGCTAACACTTCTTTAAGCCTTAGGATCATGTATCCACAAGGTTATTTGAGGCTTAAATGAAATAATGTATGGGAAACCCTTGGCACAATGCTTGACACATGTTCGGAGCTACATATATACCATTTGTTGTCATTATTGACAATGAGGAATGAAGTACCTTGCCTACTGATATGAAAACTAAAATTTGTGAAATTTAGATTCTTTACTAGTTTCCTCACAGAAATTGAACTTCTCTTGGAAAATTGCTATTTGCAAGAAAGTTTTACAATATTAAAGTCACTTCTAGGCAGCAATCGAGATATTGTCCATTCAGTTTTAGCTGCATCCATCCCTTGTTTCTCACTGGAATAGGAAACCAAAGTAATTAGATGAATCCGTTTCTCAGGCTCTTTCCAAAATATGAAGAAATCCAAAGGAAGTTCATTAGATCCAAGATAAAATAACTTCAAGTGGAAATTATCTTGATTTTTCCCTGGAGTACCTCTGCAAAAAGAAATGATTGTGTGTGCTGGGGGAAAGTGAGGCTAGCCCATCTAATATCTAACTTCATCCGGGATTTTTAAGTGAAGTGGACTCCTTGAGGCTTGATTGTCATGGTGGAGTGTGGTGGAAGACTGTGGGCATTTTGGTGTTGGGAAAACTATGGTGACTGCACCTGAGAGGAGCAATCCTATATTGTGAAAAAAATAAACAAGGATGTTTTAAAAAATAATAGTGATGATGATGATGATGATGATGATGATGATGATAAAAGACTTGATTGTCTTTGGCTTTTCTTGTAGCATCTGCTCAAAGTCCAAGAGGAATACAAAAGGAAAGAAGTTGAACTTGAAAAAATCAAAGATGACAAGTTACAGGTGGAAAAAATGTTGGAAAATCTCAAAGAAAAGGTATGAGTCCTACGTGAGCTTTGCCCCTCACCCCTTTCCCCGCTTTTCAGTGAACAATGAAAATGTCCTGGAAGTTACTGCGATAGGAATCAATATGGAATGTTTGGCGAATTGTGGATTAAAAGCCCCTCTCCAGGGTAATTCTTGGACCTAGGACTCTGCTTTTAGGTTCTTGACATTTCTGGAGTTCCAGAGTACTTTTCTTTTCTTTTTTCTTTTTTTTAAAAAAAAAAGATTTATTTATGTTTGCATTGAAGAACTGGGGTGTAGGCCCAGTTCCCAGCACCCAGAGGTGCTAGGAGTGAGCGGGTTCACCAGAGACAGAGTGGGGAGCAGAACAGGTGGATCTACTGAAATACACTGCTGAGGGGAGCAGTGGGCGAGACAGGAGAGGTCTGCTGCACCATGTGGGTTGCTCCCTGGCGGGCTGGGGATCGAACTCGTGCTGCAGTGGCTGGCAATAGCTTGATAACACTGTGTCTTTAATGCCTGCGCCACCAGGGAGGCCCCACTGCCTGATCTTAATGCCTTAGAAGGAAGAGAAGGTTAGAAGCTCAGACCAAGAGCAGTGCTACGAGTTCCACAAGAGCTCATGCTCTTTATCTTTCATGCTCAGCTGAGGAAGATGCAGTTGCCTGCGGCCCCCGGATGTGTCTGGCAGCACAGTGACTTCCCCCAGAGTGCCATTAAGAACTGGCAACCTTGTGTAGTGGAAACAAATGATTGAAAGTGTTTTCTTCTGGAGGCCATTTGCAATATGCTTTTAATTCTTCCACTTCATAAAACCAACTCACTTTCCAGTTTTGTGGGTGCTATTAAAGAAACGAGCGCAATCCCAGAGAAATTCATTTATCAAGCATTTAATTGAAAAGTGCCAAAGCTGCTCTATTTAGCAGGACTTTCCTCACACTATCAAAGCTTTTAAAATGTCCCAGAGCTGCTGCATAGCTCTGTTGCGCCACTTATATAAAATGGAGTGTGGAGTCAGAGACTAGAGAGACAAGGGGTTGTGCTGATGACATTAGGCTTAGAATCACTCTTTAAAATTGACCTCACAAATTGACTGAAGGTATTTTTTTTAAGATTTATTTATTTATACAAGAACCAGGGTACAGGCCAGATATGCAGGAGTGTGTGAGGATACACCAGAGACAGAGTGGGGAACAGAACAGGCAGAGTGACTGAAATACACTGCTGAGGGGAGCCACAGGCGAGGCAGGAGAGGTCTGCCGCGCCATGTGGGTTCCTCCGCCGCTGGCGGGGATCGAACCGGCACTCAGAGGCTGCGGACAGCTTCACAGCGCTGCGCTCAACCGCCTGCGCCATCAGGGAGGCCTGACTGAGGGTATTTTTAGCATAAGAAGCTTTCTGCCTTGTGAAGTGTCTCCTGTAAAAAAAAGCAAGAGGTCAAATAGCATAGAAGAAATGTGCCATATTTTACCTAAGTCTAAGTGTCTCCCATTCCAAAACTGAATATCCCATGAAGTGGCAGCTAACAAGGACAAGGAGAGAAATCCAACAGACAATCAGGAAAATGTGGCTCAGAATGTTTTTTCCTGTTATTTTAGGCAGAGCTTCTTTCAGAGAAAGGTATGACAGTTCATTATAAACTGATCTTCCCTGAGATTCTGATTTGTGACCAAATATTTCAACCTGACACAATTAGGTTAGGAAGCAAAGTACCATCGCCATTAGACAGCAAAAATAATTTCAGGTTGAAAGGAAACAATACATTTTTGTGAGAAGGGCTCTTATTGTTTTTGTTTGGGTTTCTTGACAATAAACCACAATATGAGTTATTGTCCATGTTTCACAGTATAACAATATGACTTATGTCTGTCCTACTGCAGAAAGAACCAGCTTTTTGAATCTGCTAGTAAAATTCAAGGTGATAAGCATTCTTTCACTATACCTTCTAATTTTTTTAATGCCAGCTATAATACAATGGAAGTCAGGTTTCAGTAAGGCTACATTTCTATTCACGATGACTAAAACTTCTCGGTATGTCTTCACATCTTAAATCAACCCCAATCTGCCACACTCTCACACTTAAGAAATGGCTTACTGGATCATTTAATGTTTTAAGGGGGTGAGAAGCAGATGTACAGCCCATGGCTTAGACGTGAACCAGCAGCTTAAATCAAACTTGGCATGATGGTTACTGCCTGGATTGGATTCTAAAGGCCAGAGATTGAGTAGGTCATCGAGAAACGTTTCCCTTCTGACTGCAGCCGGGAAGCCTGTAAATCCACAAAACAACATAACTTGCAGCGTAGACCATTCATTTCATTCAAGGGCAGCGTCCTGGAAGCTTTGAAGACATCTTAAAGGAAACACAAGGAAATCCCTCCCCGCTGAGGGCTTGGGAAGGGAGGTGACAAACCATCCTAGTCGGCCATGATCTGCCCCCACCCCACCCAGAAGCGTTTCCCCTGCCTTTTCTTTGACAACAGCAATGAAACTGAAGTAGTAATTTCTCTTATTCCTTCTGAAGGCTCTTCCTTCACATTTATAATACAGGGGGGAAAAATGTCCTCTTAGAGCAAAAGAAAGATCTTTGAAAGGTCTGGAGGTCTTTTTCGGTTTGATTGCTAGTCATAGATTTCATTCGAGCATCTCCTAGGAAACATACCTGCTCTGCTCAGACAGGGGAAAACTTTCATCCGTAAAGGCCACTGACTAATGATATTTTTGGTCATGGTCATTTTTTGCTGGTAAAGTAAGAACTATCCTAACTGATAATGTCCTTATCAGAGAGAGGAGAGCTGATAGTCAATAAATAAGAAGCTCTAATGCTTAGTTGAAGGACCCAGAGTTGGTTGCCTGCGAGTGGATTAGCTATGCTGTCCATTCTCCACTCAGAGGCAGAAAGTACCTTTAGCAAAGTGTGCACCTAAAATTACCAAGAGTCCTTTTATTGGAAGCCTGCACTGAAATATGACTCTGCACTTCTAGCAATGTGGGGCTTTCCTCAGACAATTTCCCTGATTTATCTGAGCCTCACTTTCCTCATACTGTAGAAAGGAGCTAAAACATACCTAACAATGTATGGTATCTAGTAGACAAGAAATGTTGTGTCTGGTTCCTCAGAAATTTGTAGAGTCAAAAATGATGAAATCAGAAAAAAAAAAAAACTGGCAAAGATGAATATCTAAATTGTTCTGTATTTTGAAACCATAGAGAAGCTTTGATAATCTGTGTAGGATTTATTTTAATGAATGCTGTTTTCCCTACTGTAACTGAAAGGAAATCTGTTACCAAATAAGGTGAACTGACCCAGGAAGCATATTATTCCCCCAGGAAAGCTGTGCTTCTAGACTGTGTGCCTCAAGCCAGGAGAGCGACTACCCTCTCGAGAAGACCCTGAACAGCAGTCCAATCAAATCTGAGCGTGAAGCCCTGCTAGTGGGTAAGGAAGCTAACACCCGCATACACTGTGTAGTATGCCGTGGAGGCCGGGGAGGGCTTACCTGCAATCCATAAGCACAACCAGGCATTTATGAAGCATGACAATGCAAGGAGAGAGTCCTGAAGACAACTGAGTCAGAAGCAGTACAGATTTCAATAAAAATAGTAACAGCAAAAGAAAAAAGAAGAAAAAGAGGAAAGGTAATAGCAGCTCCTAGCCCTCTTCCAGGTCCTGTGGCCCCTGCACATCAAGCTTATCGATGTTGTACTGTATGCTAACAGGGGTCTCCTGGAAAAACTCATTGGATATTTTAAATCTCTATGTAAGGATAGCTGAGCCCGCTCACTCCCATTCAAGGGGCAGCGCAAAGCACATTGGGCAGAGAGTTTTTCCAGATCAGCTTCCAGAAGAAGTGTGTGCCTCATTGATTTTTTCCCAGGTTACTGGCAAATGACTCAGGAAGCTGCCTTTGGGGTGTTGGACTCTGAATGAGGTCAATGCTAGAATTGCTGTCATTATATAAAAACTGATTTAGGGAGACAAGGTAGCATAAATGGTTAAGGAATGAATGGTATTTGCCCCACCATTTCCATCTTGAACTTCAGTTTCTCCATCTGCAGAATAGGCACGATCATCTGACCTGCCTCTAGTGGCCACTGAGGGTATTAAATATGAGATGCATCTAAATCACTTGGCACAATGGCCAACCCATAGTAAGCCCTTAATGAATGGGAACCATTTTGCTCCTACAGCAGTGTTGACAAAAGCTTGTTGACATCACATTCCGTTTGGAAAACAGTGACAGACTGAGGGGCTACAATATGCAGTTCTTTAGAAGAGGCCAATCTTAGGGCTCAGCAGATAACCCCAGCTGCTTCCAGGAAGCTGAGCCACAGATTAGTTCTACCCCAGTCTCAAAAGTCTTCCACAGAGATTGGCTTTTGCATATTTTTAAGATATATTCTGCCTCCTTTAGTAATAAGTATTGTACTCAGATTTAATACTTTGATATGTTAATAAAGATGCACAGGGGATCTGCCATTGAGTCTTCAAGAAAAGTGACAACTTATTTCCATTTTCCAACTTCAGGTTCTTTAACAAATTGGCATGGCAACAGGGAGACCAGTCAGAGAAGAGCTGGGGTAGGAAGAAGCTTCGTAAACAGATAGTTCTAGAAAAAGAGATGGTTATAGTGTTTCTTATTTTTTAAAGAAGGTAATTAGGGGCACACAGAAAGGATATTTGTTTTTTTTTATTGGTGCTTTGCATGTGAAACCACAAAACCTGTTTAGTGTTTTGAAACCTATGACATTATTCTTGGCCTCTCTCGCAGACTTTCTTGGCCGTAGCATTCAGAATTCTTTTGAATATGGACCACTGTCTCAGGAATTTAAGTTTCTAAACAGCCAGTGTTTTGAAATTCAATTCACCTAGTCATTTCAGAACAAAGTAGCAAGATGCCAGCCTGTACCTCCAAGTCACATACAGTGTTGTCAGCCAACATTACTTCAGTAAAGAACAAACTTTAGGTGAAAACATTAAACCTATAGCTTACGTGTAGTCATTTTTCAGACTTTATGAAATAAATCTGGTGACATCACTATTGGGGGAAAAAAGAATAAAGTAGCACTGTAACTAATAGCATACATTTTGAACAGATTTGCAACATGGATTTTTCAGCCAACCTCCTTGTCATCTAATATTTGGAGGATTTTCACAAAAAAAAAAAAAACTGATTTCAACTTCAATCTACAATTTAAACTTGTGCTATCACTTGCCAGTCTCTTAAATGGATAAAGAAGTTGTAGTTAATAAACCAAATCAGATTTAGCTCTTATTTCCTGGCAGTTTTCAGCAAACTCAGTTCTGGGTCTATGTGATACACCCAAGATCTTAAGAAAGGAGGTAAATTCAAACAATTTAAAGAAAGAAGTATTAGACTTTTGAACAATTTATTTTCTACCTATTGCCAGAGAAAGAGGAATTAAAACAATTAACCCAATGGCCAGAACCATCAAGGAAGCCGCCAGTCACCCCAGACTTGTGCTGAGCTAAGCAGAATTGATGCCCAGTCCTGGAGGCTGTAACCCCTATGGAAATGACTTGAAGAGTCTCAGGCTCTGAGCACAAATAAAATGCTCATGATCACTTGAATGAATGAAATGTTTGGCTTTTCTTTACAAAGCTACTCCCAGAATAAAGCCCAAATACCATCAAAAGATTCTCTTGTGAGACGCACGAGATTAGTCAGGGAAAGATTTGTACCACTGAGCTTTGTACTTCTGCTGGCACAACATTATTAACACGTAAGAGGCTGAAGCCCAGTTTAAAGACCATGCAAAGGAATTGCAAGCACCCAGCACAAACTAACCTCATTGTCAAATGTAGAGCTCAAATGGCCGTTCACCACAGTGAATGATGGAAGGGACTCTTCAAATGCCAAGCAGTGACAGGTTGTAGTGAGAAGCAGCATGGGCAGTGGTTAAGAGCAGCATTCTGGGTTCAAATACCAGCTCTGCCACTTACCAGCTATGGGAACTTGGGCAAGTTGCTTAAACTCGCTGTGCCTCAGTGTCCTCATCTATGAAATGGGGGTGGTAATACCTACCTGAAATGGGGGTTGTTGTAAAGATTAAATGTGTAAACTAGCTGTCTGGTGTACACCAGTTAGTTCTTGCTATATACATTGTCATGTGGCATCTCAAGGGGTAATGCTAAGTGTGACTTTCGTGGTATTGTGTCTATAGGGATTATCTCCACTTTCCTTCACGTCCACCCATTCGGAGCAAGCATTGAATACATCTGTTCCTACTTACACCGTCTAGATAATAAGGTATGTTGTGGGGGAGCTGTAATAGGCATGCAAGGTTGTTTGTAAACAGGTGACCTTCCTCCCCTCAAGTGTAAATAGGTCATTAGTTACAGCTCTATGGAAATTTTGCTCTCCTTTTCTCACTGTGATTCAGAGTAGAGCTTCAGTAGAGTTGTTACAGGACAGGGAGAGGGGCAGCCCAAACCTGTCTATTCTATTAAATGGTTTCTGCCATTCGCCTCATCAACACAAAACTTATGAGACTTTAATGGAAAGGAACTTTAATAAAACTAGGAAATAATACAGGAAAAGCAAAGAGTCTAGTTTCTAAATGAAGCACCCAAAGTTACCCGTCCCCTCGTGGGTAAAAGTCCATCCAAATGGGATTGGCCCAGAGCAAGGCCCCAAAGCCTGCCACAGGTCTAAAGCATCTTCCAGTGGGGACCCACAGAAAAGGGTCAGAAACAACCAGACAAGCCCAGAAGGAAAAGAGCAAAATCAACATCAAGATAAAAGCCGCCATTGTCACCTCCCCACGGGTCTCACCCACATCCGTGTCACCCAGTCCACGACCAAAAGGCAAGCGCAATTTCTTCACGTGTCTCTTGGCTCCATGCGCCTCTTCCAGGTCTCCTGGCTCCATCCTGCTTCCTTCCTTCCTCAGTCTCCTCTGCAGCCTCTTCTCTCCCTGCTCAGCTCCACCCTCCCTTGGGTGGGGCAGGAAATCTGGAACCTCCCCCTTTCCTGGGGACCAGCCTGTTACAGGGTGACCTCCTGTGCCTGTTTGCCTGGACTTGGGGCTTCAGTGCTAACACCAGGGAAGTCCTAGGCCAAACTAAATGCACTGGCCACCCTACTTCCAAGATACACCATAGAGGAGTTTTCCTCCTTTCTCCTAATTTACATATAAGTTGCAAGTTAACGATTATTTCTCACCAGTCAAACTTATGCCCTGGGTCTTTAGCCATCAGTAGATGTTAATGTTCAGAATTGAAGGCCTTACTCCACCTTTCTCCCCCACCAGCACCATCCCCATCACCTCTGCCATTATCTATGATGAAACACCCAAGACAAGGACAAAAAAGCGTGGAACGATAAGTCTGTAGCCAGCTGAATATTGGCTCTCTTGAACCGCTTCCTTCTCTGGATGCTATCCTGTGGGGGAGCTCACAGGGCACCAGGAGCAAGGGCAAGTGCTGGTTCCCTAGAAAGTCAAGGGTGCAAGGATGCCTCTTAGAGGCAGGAGGGAACTCTATGGACCCCTCTGAGCAAATAAGCTCATGATAGATTTTTTTCAGAAGCAGCACTCAGTGGAACTTGCTCCTGGATTATACTCACTATTTCACAGGATCTGGGCCTTCTGAGAATGCCATTCAAATGCAGATGCCTGACAATTGGCTATCCACAATGTTAAGCCATTTAAGCACATGTCCTCATAACAAAGTAACTGGCCCATTTGGGAATCCAGCTGTGGTGATAAATCCTCCTCATGGCATTTATTTTAGTTCTAGCTAGCAGTCCCCTCATTTATCTCTGGGAAGTGATGCTATTCTGCAATTAAATAGCCCATTTGGCAGCTAAGGGAAGGATGGAATGTGAGCTCCCGGACCAAGTGGTCAGTGGAAGTGGTATGAAAATGAGCTATACGTCAGTAAAATGATCTGCTTCTGTTTTCAAATTGCAAAAATAATGCATATAGACTGTCTTAAAAATGTAAGCAATGTAAAAATATAGTAAATGGAAAGCTGCCCCCATCCCACCCCTCAAGAATAAGCACTGTTAATAGTTTGCAATATCTTATTTCAGGCCCTTTTCTATACCCATGCTGTACTGCCATTGTATGTATCTCTAAGCATTAGATATTTATGTTTTTTGAAATGGGATTTCAATTCTACATGATATTCTGCAATGCGCTTCTTTCTCTTAACTGGATCCAGTCTACTAGGTGCTCTGGGAGGAAGACCTGACCTCTCCCAGCCTGGCTCCAGTTCCCCCTGAGCAGCTTTCTGCCACAGTGGTGGCGGGGCCACCCCAACGGAGCCTGCAAGGTGTCAAAAGAATTGGGGAAGAGTCCCAAGCGTCCCTCTCTCCAACTTCAGGAGTATCCAGTGAGAGAGCAACTCAGTTTCTTTAAGGAACCCCTAGTGCTCTTCTGCCATGCCCTGGTGCCCAGGTTTAGCTAGGAAGGTTGCTGGTAACATAAAGATGGCCACCTGGAGAAATCCTGAAAGGGGTGCATAGGTTTATTCCTGTATTGATGAGGGGGAAGTAGGTGTGGTGTGGGGCTCTGTGGTGGGGAGAGAGAGACAATGCACAGAAGTAGGAACACAGAACATCCCCCATTCCTGTCACTTTTCCTTTGTGAATTAATGCATGTCCGTTTCTACCTCCTTCCCCTCCCAAAATGGGAGCTTTGCAGCTTCAGTGGGCCAGCACCCTGTACCTCAGCCCTTATCAGCCACCATTCAGCTGGCTACAACCCCAAGCCATTCCACACAAGTGACACCAGACCTTTCCAATAGAACGCTCAGTGGCAATCGATCTCAAAACAGCATGCTCAGTGAAAGAAACTAGTCCCACAAGAATATACAGCATATGATTAAACATAATATGAAATCTCCAGAAAATGCAAAACCACTGTGAAAAAATCTAAATCAGGGATTGGAGTGAAGACGACCGCAAAGGGACACAAAGGAGTTTTGGGGAGGTGAGAGAATGCTGTAAAACTCAGCTGTGTCAGTCGCACAATTGTATAAATGTATCAAGGCTCGTGGAACTGTACGTGTAAAATAGGTGAATCGATTGTGTGAAGCAGTTATAAAACATTTAAAAGGAAAGGATTCTATCTGGTGGTCACAGCAGAGGAACGCTGCCATCTGGGAGCCACTCACCCAGCACACACGCACACGCGCACGCACGCACACACACAGCTGTGCTCTTCGGCACCCCAAAGCTGGGAAAGAAGAACCCGATCAGGCTAGGGCGAGCTGGTTTTAATTGGCCGTGTCTTCTCTGTCCCACAGATCTGCACCAGTGATGTGGAATGTCTCATGAGCCGACTCCAGCACACCTTCAAGCAGGAAATGACTGGCGTTGGAGCCAGTTTAGAGAAGAGATGGAAATTCTGTGGCTTTGAGGGCTTAAAACTGACCTGAAGCACTTTGCCTAACAACTTGGGATCCTGAAAATAAATGTGGGTTGGACAAGCTTAGAAAGTGATTTGTATTTTCAATGGTTTTCAAGTGGAAATTGTTTTCGATTTGTCCATTCATTCCTGGAATATCTTTTGAGTTAAAATAAGGATCCTAGAACAGCACCTCGAGCTATAGGCCCTAAAAAGACTCAAACCTCAAGTGCTGTAACTTCCTCCCCCTCTGTCAATTGGTTGTCTTTTTCCATTGGTAGTATTGAAAAGGGCCTGAGGCTGAAGCGTATTTGGGGTGTTTTTGGTGTCTGTACTACTGTTATAGTCTTTGGTATTTTTTTAACACTGTTCATGGAAAGCTTTTGATGATTTTATGTGCTTTGTGTTTCAAAATGTTGCTTCACATTAATGTTGCTGCTGGTGAGAGGGATGAGGGGAGCACTAGGCGCTCTGTAACTTACATGTCTTTCTAATCCCTAGTAAGCCAGTTAAAAAATAACACATCGGTGTCTTCTAAAAGGTGTTTGACCGGGTTCACCTTTTAAAGGACAAAAGCATGGTTTGTGGCTTTTGCAAATTTACTGTGAGCCAAAAGTTGACAAATGTTTCGAAGTTATTTTCGCTAATATATCAGATTAAAGATTTCAGAATTAAAAATAAATAAACCTAGCTGTATTCGCAAAATGCAAGTGTCCAGTATGACTGGCATGTGAACGTGCTGCTCAGAATCACTTTGTAAATAGTCTGCTTTTGAAGGAGGGCATGTTTAGTTTTCTATGAATTAAAACATATGTGAGCAAATGTGAGTGTGCGTGCACACACGCACACATTAGCAGAAGGGATTTATTTTAATATGCTTTCCCCTCTGACTTTCTGACAAAGTCTGTTGCTCCCTTTCCTTCTGCTGTCAGTGTGTTGAATTGCAAACTGTGTACTGCTGTAAATACTATGTTTACTTCATGCTGAATGTTTGTAAAGAGTTGATATGAGTATTAATAGAAAACTCCTGGTAACAAATAAATAATGGGCCAGAGAGTGTGGCGCTTCCTGTAAAAAGGTCAGCTCCATGTTGGGTGTCGATGGCCGGGGTCACCCCAGCTCTGTGGTGCCCATCAGCTGGTTGCCATGGCAAAGGGTGCACAGACTAGTCAGGAACTCTGCTGGGCAGAAAAGAAAGCGGCGGGATGATGATTTGGGGCTAAAATCTAGAGGCAGAGATGATCTTGTCTTTAGCGGTGGTGGTGGTGCTCAAGCAGACCCTCCCTTGAGTCTTGATTCAAACTAAGGAAACAAACTAAGAAAGCAAAGCGACAAAGGGTATTTCAGGAACATACTTTGTAAATGAGATGTCAGTCGTGTTCAAAATTGTATTTTTAAAAGATAAATATTCCTTTTTTTATACCTCACTTTGGTGTTCTGTTGTATTTTTTTTTCCGGTGAACTTGTCAGTTGTTTCCATGTCTATGTAACTTTGGGGTTACATCTTTACTCCTCCATTTGCGTGTGTTTCACTCACCCTCTCTTGCTCTCTAAGTAATGATTTAGTAGATCATCTCTCTTGCTGCCTTTGGGTTACCAAGATAATGAAGGAAGATGCTAAACCTTCAGCCTTGACAACTAGAAATAGGGTTCCATGGCAGTCCATTCATGCTGAAAGCCGCATCCCTCTCAAGCACCCGCTGTGACACCAGCAGGAAGCTCAGGTTATTGTCACATTAGCTTCCTCGCTAAAGGTCTGTGCCATCCACACTGCAGAAGGCCTTGTTCATCAGTCCTGGGGTCCAGGAAAGCCTTACTTTAATCATACCTGTGTAATCAAGGGAAATTTACTACTTGTCAATTATTTCTTATTTAAATAAGTGGAATAAAATGAATTTTTAAAGCAACAACTGTCACACCCGGGCCACTCGCTCTCCTTCACCTCATGTACTTGCACTATAAATGGCCTCTTTCTATTACTCCTGCCAACTTAGTGCAGACGTGCACCTCCCAGCCTGCTTGCATTGATCAGTTGTCATCATTAGTTTTATGTGTGAAGTTGGCGAGCCTAGAGTGCTCGGGTTCTTGGTCAAACACCAATCTAGATAATCTAGATGTTACTATGCAGGTATTTTTGATATCTAAACATTTAAACTGGTGGTCTTTGAATAAAGCAGATAACCCTCCATAATGTGGGTGGACCTCATCCAATCTGTTGAAAGCATTAAGAGAAAAGATAAAAGCCCTCCAAGGAGAGAAAAATTGTGCCTCCAGGTTGCCTTTGGTCCCAGGACAGCAGCATTAATGCCTGCCAGACTTTCCCGACTGCCTCCAGCCTTGCCAATTTTAAACTTGCCACACTCTACAATCACATGAGTCAAGTCCTTAAAATAAATCTGTCTCTAGATACCTATGTATGTTTGCATGTATATATTATACATCCCATTGGTTCTGGTTTTTTGGAGAATTCGAATACACTACTCCAGAGCACAAAAATAGAATCTGTTTGTATCATCACATAATCAAATTGCACACACACCATCTTATACAATCCTTTCCATTCACCATGGAAATATATCTTACCAGTCTTTCAGTTGGGCAGGAAGCTTTAAAGATTTCGACTTGCCTAAATTTTCTATTTGCATGTAAAGGTCTCAAAGGCATACTGAAGCAAGTAATTGGGGCAGCACAAGGAAGGAAAATGAATTTATTGCACACATGAGTGTTTAATGCAATAGAACCTTGTGGAGATATCAGATTTGGGGTGGGAAGTGGGATGCAGGATATATTAAAGAATATTATTCCAAATTTCATTCACTCCCACGCTGTGTGACTATTAGACTACCCTAAAATTAATAGTCTTTGGCATCAGAAGACTTGACTCATTAACAGTCATCACTAAATACCTTAGGGTGGTACTTTATAGTATTTTCAAAGCAACTCTGAAAATAGACATTATGTCATCTGTGACCTAGCAGGGGCGGATGGTTCCCTCATCATTTTATTGCAGTTAAGGAAAACAAATCTCAGAAGGAAGAGGAGCCGTAGTTTAGGTCATACCGTTAAGTGGACAGTGGAATTGGTGTGAGACTACAGGACTCCTGAATTCTCCTGATCTCTTCCCACCTCAGCCCCAACCTCTGCCTAGTATGGCTGAGAGAATGTAAAATTAAGAGTTGACAGATTTTGGTGCCATGAACTCCTGGGAAAGCCCGTGAAGCCATTATCAGAACCACATTTCAAAATGCATAAAATAAAACACAAAATTGTGATTACAAAAGAAATCAACTAGATGGAAATAATACAGTTATCAAAACACATTTGTAATACAGTAACATGTGCTCCTTCAACACTTTAAATACAATGGCAGGTCAAATAACTACTATAATTCTGAAATACACTCATGTATGATACGATGATGCCTGTGATACTGGTGGGAAAGTCACAGGTATTGCTAATACCTCTGTATTTTGTTGTCTACATTTATAAATGGAAGAAAATGTTAAATCTCAGTTATTAAACATTAACCAAAATATAAATGTGGTTAACCAAAATTTAAATGTAGTTTTTCCATCAAAATTCACACACTCCCTAAAATTTATTTCTAGATAAAAACCCCCTGACAGAAGAGACTGATAGAATATAAAGTGAGCGCCCCCAAAGTGGGAGCAAGAATATTTTTATTAACTATATAACTATTTATAAATTACTTTCAGCCGTGGCTATCACACAGCAAGCTTATGAATGTGTTTATTAAATAAAAGTATATATTAAATATGAAGTTTCATAAACGATAGATATAAATGCTTTGCACATTTTGAAATAGTGAAATTCTAAGTCACTACATAAATGGTGGGAGGGTCACGCAAGCCTGTATTTCTGGGTGAAAAAGTGACAGATGAGCTTCAATGTGAGCAAATACAAAGTACTGCATTTAGGAGAAAATGAGCCGAATGCTATTCAAAAGATGTTAGTCTCCAAACCATCAGTTCTGGCACAGGAAAGGGATCTGGGAGTTGTTGAAGAGATATCCCTGAAGACATCTGTCCAATGTGTGATTGGAATAATAAAAAGGCAAAAATTATTAACACAGTTATAAAATATAGAAACAAAATATAAGACATCATCCTATTCCCTTTACTTAAAAAAAAAAAAAGTTTAGTACCCACACGGTAAATTGGCATGTTTCATATGGATGGGCCTCACTTCAATTCATATTTTTAAAAATTATTTATTGAAGTGATATTGGTTTATAGCATTATATAGGCCTCAGGTATATGGTCTTATAAATCAACATATGTATATACTACATTATGTTTACATCTTAATTCCAACTCAGATGTTGTTCAAGTGTTTATAATGTCCAAGACACACTGCCAGCCAATAGTGGATGCAGAGCTGAATGTGAGAGTTTGAAGAGAAGCTCAAAGAGTCTAGAGTTTGAGTGGGCGTTAATTCATTAACAAGGCATGTCTATCCTCTGCACCAAAGTCACCCAGTATTTGTCTTTCATTTCTGGCTCATTTAGTATAATCTCACTCCAGTTTCGTCTATGTCATCACAAGTGGCAAGATTTCATCTTTTTTTTTTTATATATAGCTGTATGTAGACCACATCTTCTTAATCCATTCATCTGTCCTTGGTCACCCGGGTGAAATAACTTGTCTATTGTGAACAGTGCTGCAGTGAACATAGAAGTGAATATATACCTTCAAAGTAGTATTGTTGCATTCTTTGAGTAGGTACCTAGGAGCAGATCTGCTGGGTCATGTGGTAGATTTATTTTTTTATACTTTGAGAAACCTCCAGACTGTTTTCAATAGGGGCTGTATAACTATTTATAAATTACTTAGAACAGTTGCCATCACACAGTCTACATTCCCACCAACAGTGGAAGCGAGGTGTGAGGAACTGGTAGAGGCAATCAGTTTGATGGTGGTGAATGATATTAGCACTTTGGTGATGGATGAAGTGTGGTATATGCATCTATGGAGCCAGCAGGATTTACTGACGAATTGGTTGTGAGGGCAGAGAAAGAGAGGGTTCAAGGATGACTTCGAAGTTTTTAGCCTGAGCAACTAGAAGGATTGAGAGCCATTACCTGAGGTGGGGGAGACTATGGGATGAGCAGATTTGAAGGAAAAGGTCGATTTGAGGTTTATTCCTGACATGGTAAGTTTGAAGTACCTATTACGACTCCAAGTGAAAAGGTCAAGTAGACAGATATATGTTTGGAAATTGAGAGGAAAGTTCTGCACCAGAGCTGTAATTTTTTTTTAAATAAATTTTATTTTTATATTCCCCATACAATTGCAACACCCTTATTTTGACCCCAATCCCTCCCTTCCCCGCCCCCCACCCCCCATAAAGTGTCTCTGATTCATAGTTTTTTGTTGATTTTGATTTTCACTTTCTTATAGTTATTCATTTTCCTGGTCCCTTATTTAAGTTTTCTAGATTCCTGCTATGAGTGAGACCATCCGGTATTTTTCTTTTTCTTTCTGGCTTATTTCGTTGAGCATGATCCCTTCCAGAGCCATCCATGTTGCTGCAAATTGCATGTGTTTATCTTTTTTGAACGCTGAGTAATATTCCATGGTATATATGTACCACATCTTCTTGATCCAGTCATCTATTTTTGGGCATTTGGGCATTTACAATAGCTTAGCTATTGTAAACAGTGCTGCTATAAACATAGGGGTGCAGGTGCTCTTTGGAATGGATGTTTCTGTGTCCTTTGGGTAAATACCTAGGAGTGGAATTGCTGGATCATATGGAAGCTCTATGTTTAGTAGGTCCAGAAATCTCCACACAGCAGAGCTGTAAGTTTCAGAATTGTTATTGTATAGATCATATCTGAAGATGTAATAGTGGATGAAATCACAAAGGGAGTGGGCGTTGCTAATGAAAAAAATAAATTAAGCACTAAACCTTGGGGCACCTCAATATTAACAAAGTGGAGAAATGAGTAGGAAATTGTAAAGGAGAAAGAGCAGACAGAAACCCAGGAGGAAATCATATTTCAGGAGTCTTGCCAACGTCTACCTTCATGAAAAGCAGCAGAGTCTAGAGGGTTATCTGCAAAACTGAGTGAAAAAATGAAGAGTGAATAGATTAAAGGTAAAATCTATAACAATTCTGAAATTACTTGTATGCACACGCCAGTCTATTAGGTTAGCTGTGTGGACTATGGAGGAGACCTGAGGTCACAGGATGATGTCGCCAAATTCAGCACACAGGCCATGGCTTGGGCATCCCACTTACTCTTCAACTCCCTGTCTTCTCCCAAAGTTCTGGGCGTGAAGTCCCTTGTTCTTATTTGATCCATTTCTGGGCTCCCTTCCCCAGATTCTATGCCCAAGCCCAGCCTTGGAAAAATTAGCTCACTCAAATACTCAGGGAACTTCTTAATGAGCTTGATTTTCAG